TGAAATGGGTCGGTGGTCACTTTCATGGGGAGGAGTCCCAAAATGAGGAAGTAAATGAAGTCTTCCTCGTTCTGACCTTTCTACCTTTTCAAAGCAAATATGACAAATGAGCACTTGGTAGAACTGCCATTCCCTGTCTTCAATTGGTTTCAGAACAGAGGAGGCCCACAATTGTCTTAAGTTACTAAAAGCTATTTGTCAGGGCTGCACGCGGGATAGCTCCCAAATACACACCACCACACGCTTCACAGGTGATTACAGAGCCTTTTTATCTATACAACTATTGAATACCCAAAATTCAAATACATATTCATAATTTTGGTACATCCCATTCCCTGCTTCATATGCTAATTAGTTCAAAAGCTATTAAGCATGCTTAGTTTGTTCCTTGAAATGGGTCGGTGGTCACTTTCATGGGGAGGAGTCCCAAAATGAGGAAGTAAATGAAGTCTTCCTCGTTCTGACCTTTCTACCTTTTCAAAGCAAATATGACAAATGAGCACTTGGTAGAACTGCCATTCCCTGTCTTCAATTGGTTTCAGAACAGAGGAGGCCCACAATTGTCTTAAGTTACTAAAAGCTATTTGTCAAGTTTCTATATTCTTCATTATAAACCCAGCTAACCAAACATTGTGTTGACAAGCAATCAATTATTATTTAACTACTACCTCTTAACTTCATCAAGGCCTACCTATTTATTTTAATTAACTCAAATAAAGCTTATCTCTAACTAAAATCCTAGCTCCTCTAAAATTTCTAAATTCCTCAAAGTTTATGTTTCACCTCTGGGGAGCATCAGTGGGGACAGCAGGGTGGCAGCCTTGGCCACCCACCCACAGCTGTATCCTGCTCCCAAGTCCTGTGTTATTTATGGAGGCCCTTGACAGCACAATGTCCAGACAGCTGGCATGGAGTAGTCCAGCACTGTGCAGTCCAGCAGGCACTGGGGTGAGGGCAATCCCTGATTTTGGATCATGGCAGCTACCTGGGGTGAGGGGAGAGGGATGTTATGACACACATGGCCAAAATCACATTTAGGATCAACTGACCTTGGAGCACTTGGGGCAGAGTTGGCTTCTGCTGGTTCACCAGCCAAAAGGAGCAGTAACTGGGAAGTCCGGATTGCCATGGGATGGATGGGGAAACTGAGAAATCGCTTGAAAGTGCAGGAACACAAGAGGAAACAGTTTTCAAGCACAGTTCACAAGAACAGCTGACGGATCAGCAGGACGCTGTGGCCAGAGATTAGGCACACTGACTCCCTCCTGTGTCAGTACAGAGAAAGTCCACTACCCAGAGAAGGGCTTTGCAAATCACCAGGTCAAACACCTCCAAGTGTGTCTGGAAGCTGCTAGGAACGGCACCAATGCAGTACCTCCTCAGGTGCTCTCAGGCCAGGTAAGTCAGGGTAAGAGTCAGACCAGCAGCATGGCCAGCCTGGACAGACCCCTGGGTCACCTCTCCCACCACTCACCAGCTCCTCACTCCTCTGGGTCACCAGCTCAGTCTCACTCTCTAAACATGCACATACCAGACTTGCAAATCTGCTTTTGTTTCTGAAGAGGGAAAATCTGAGAACATCCCCAGGGACACAGCTTCACCTCCTACCTGTATTCAACTCATCCACTTAGTTCCATCAGCATTTAACAGGAGTGGAAGGTTATTTCAAGTGAGTCCAAATGCTTTTATTTCCTCTATGTCCACTGCTGGTGAAGGCAAGGCAAGACAGGGACTGAGGGGAAGGGCAAGAGCAGTTAAGGGCTATGAGGAGCAGGGGGTCCAGTGGTGATTTCCATCATGTGCTCCCTGCCAGAATGCTAAAGGCACCAGCCATGGCTGAGAAGAGGCAGTCAGTAGTAAGGCTTCATGACAGTGGGCTCTATCCTCACAAGGATGCTTTCATCTGGCTGTGATTAAAGCCTTCACACCTGGAAGAACTGCAGCTGCATGGACCTCACGTCTCCAGGTCCTCTATGGTGATAACTACTTGACAGTGACACCAACCCACTGCTGGAGTTTGTGCCATCAATACACACCCAGGAATACTTGCCTGCTCAGCAGAGACTGTTCTCACAGCTCACCACCCCAGCTTTGGTATCTCCCAGAACAGGACAGATCACCAGACCATGCAAATGTGGCCACTTCCCTCCCCAGCAGAGCCAAACAGGCAACCCATGATGGGATTTTCCTCTTCAGGTAACCTCTGGTGTGTCTGGAGAACAGCTGCACACACTGTCCAAATGGAGGAGTGCCATCTCCTGGGCACTGGGAGACAGTATACGACAGCCTTGGAAAACCATCATGGAGTAACTCAGAGCTCCTGAGGCTAAGAAACTGCTGCAACGAGCACGTGCTGCCCATGAAAGGAAACCCAACCTTTGTGTGCCTCAGCAAGCAGCTGCAGGGTCCATGAACAGCTCTCTGGTCAGTGCATGTTTAACCTGTGCCAGGAATTACATACAATTTCCCAGCCTGAAAAATGACTAGGGGACACCAGACCTTTACCAGTCCTGTATCAGCACTGGAGGGTTGCCATGCCTCAGATCCCAGTGGTTTGCTATGGAGGAACAGGCACACGGCTCCACGGTGGATGTGCAGGGACAGGCAGCTCACCCTCCCATCCCTCCCTGTGGTCCTACCTCCCTCAGCTCCCTGCCCTGCCTCTGGCTCCCCTGAGGCTGCTTCCTGCCCAAGGACTAGCCCTGTGCCTGCTACCCCCGTCCCTGCATGCTGCCATTCCCCGGGGTCAGACCCCTGATGTGTCCCCACTCTAGTGTCTGAGCTAGAGTGGCCATATTCACTCAACACCACCTCTCAGCTCAGCATGATCTTCCCAGGTCTGCTCCACAAGTCTGTATCAGCTTCCCATTCTCCCTCGGTTCATTACACTCTAGTTTTCCTTCTCCTCCCCACTTTGCCCTGCAGCCCAGAGAGGCAGACATACACACCACGTAGAATTTCAGCTCAGGTACTCTAATTTCTGACAAAATAACATGGAATGAAGCCAAGCTCCATGTGAAGTACCACAAGAACCTGTTTCACTGGCTGTGAGCTGACTGTGCTTTCAAGCAACTCTCACAGCCCCTTACAAGGGTAATGAGAATCCTCAACAACCATTCTTACACTCACTGATGGATTTAGGGCAATACATATCTGTTCTGGTACTAAACAGAATCATAGAATCATGGGATGCCATAGGTTAGAAGGGACCTTAAAGATCATTTTGTTCCATCCAAACAACGTACAGGGACACCTTTCCCTAGACCAGATTGCTCCAAGCCCTGTCCAGCCTAGCCTTGGACACTTCTACAGATGGGGCATAACTTCACTGGGAACCTGTTCCATTGCAACAACAATATAAGATTGAACACTTATGTTACAGCATTACCTTTCTTTCCTGCCTGTTTACTATGCTGTGGAAAATACACTGGATTTCTGATTCCAGCAGACACTTGCTCTGTGTTCCATTATGCAACTGCTGTGTTCCAGGGATACTCACAGCCCAAACTTCTTCGGAGAATTACACAACATGTCAAATCAGTGTGCAACCAGGGAAGTTAAATGATTTTAATACTTTACCAGCACAAATGATGGGATCCTCATTCCTACAAAGCAATCTAGTAAACTAATAATAATGCAATTATTACATCTACAATCTGGAGAATACCATGTGAGATGCAGTTACTCTCCTCTCTTCTAGGAAAATTAATTATACCATTAATTCTGTTGCTCCAGAGCAGAACTGGTCCCAGTTCATACATCCCCTTGGGCCAAATCACCCAGCATAAACAGCCCTTTACATGCAGGGGGTAATCTGAGTGTCCATCTGCCTGACACAGTGCATGGTTAGACCGGGTATTGGGAAAAAACTCTCCCTGAGAGAATGGTGAGGCCCTGGCACAGGTTGCCCAGATAAGTTGTGGCTGTCCTATCCTTGGAAGTGTCCAAGGCAAGGCTGAACAGGGCTTGGAGCAGCTTGGTCTAGTGGAAGGGATCCCTGCCCACAGCAGGGGTTGGAACAAGATGATCTTTAAGGTCCCTTCCAACCCAAGCCATTGTGGGATTCTGATTCTAAGCAGTTTTCCAGGGCAAGCATGTTTCTCATTCTAAAGCAGCCACAACAAGGCTGTATAAAGCAGACCTAGTCCTCAGTGGCATGAACAGCACAAACCCAGGATCTCTAGAATGTATTTGCACATTTGCACAAATCTGATTTCCAGTCCCTGGGAAAGAGCTATGAGATCACAGCTTCTGCTTTGACTGCTTTAGGCAGGCAGTGCTCGAGCTGCTGCCCCTCCAAGCCCCAGTAAATGTTCATGCCACGAGATCCCCCCATACATTTCCCATGAAGAAAAAATAAAACCATAAACCCACAAAACCCAACCCACAAGTCTCGAATTTGTCTTTCCTCCATTTTCAGGAGCGGCACCCACGGGGTGGCCGGGCCTCCCTCCTCACTGTCCCAACAGCCCCCAGGCCGCAGCTCCTGCCTCTTCTTCAACCTCACCCGCCCCGGAGGCCGTCCCGCCGGAGCCGCCGCTCCGCTTCCCCACAGAGCGGAGGGACCCGGCGCCGAGAGGCCCCTGAGAGGCCCCTGAGAGGCCGCCGAGAGGCCGCACCGGCGGGCCCAGCCCGGGCTTCCTACGAGAGCGGCTACGCCCGCCACACAAACCCCACAATGCCCCGCGCCAGACGCGGCGGACAAAGCCCGGCGCGCGGCCCCGTAGGGGTACCCGGATGGGCGCGAGGAGGGGCGGTGGCCGGAACGCCCTCTGATTGGTGGCCACGGGGCTGGAGGGGGCCGAGTGCCCTGTGATTGGTCGCCGCGCTGCAGCGGGGGGAAGGGCGAATAACGGGGGGTTACAAAATGGAGCCGTGCGCTGCGCCGCCGCTTACATAACGCGACCTCTCACCCCGCCGCGCCGGCGGGGCGGGGCGAGGCTGCAGGATGGACCGGCCGTGCGACCAATCCGCAGCTGGCGGAGCAGGCGCCTAGCCAATAGACTGTCGGCACCGCGGCGCGGGGGTGGGTGCTGCGGGGCGGGGCGGCAGGGTCGGGGTGCGCGCGCGGGGCCGGTCCCACCGCCCGCCGTGAGGGGGAGCGGAATCTCCCGCCATTTTTCAACCGTCCCGCTCGGGCCCCGCCGGGTCCCATCATGGCGCCGCTACTCGGCCGCAAGCCGTTCCCGCTGGCTAAGCCATTGCCGCCGGGGGAGCCGGGCGAGCTGTTCGTCATCCCCCACACGCAGGAGGCCTTCCGCACCCGCGAGTATCCGCCACACCGGGGCGTGGGGGAGCTGGGGCGGGTCCCGGGGCCGTGGAGCCGAACAAAGCGGTGGTGGGGTCGGACGGGGAGCGGGACCGTGAGGAGAGCGTGGCGGGCGCTGCCCTGGGTTCGGCGGGGTCGTTGTTCCCTGAGGAGTTCCGGAGCCCGTTCCAGGCGGGCGGGGGAAGTGTGACCGCGCACACTCCGCGGGGCAGGAGCGCAGCTAACGGGGACCGGGGGACCGTCAGAGCGAGCTATGAGAGCAATTCATGCACTCGTGGAGCGGGTGCGGACATTGGGGTCCCGCGGGCCAGGAGCACACTGGCACCGGAGGCTTCCGTAGTCCTTAATTTCTAGGGAATTAAACAGCGGCAGGAGCTCTCGCTGTGTACATCCCAGGCTTTCGTTCTGAGCATATCTCTTCCTGGGCTGCTTTTGTATAAAAACCAATTTTTAATTTTTTTTTTTCCCCTGCGTGTGACAGCCTTTGATCGCCGGAAGTGGCCGTAGGCCAGGCTGGTGACTGACAGAGCTGCGCGGCAGCAGTTACTGTCCCCGAGTCCGCAGCAGGGCTGAAGGGGCAGGACCTCGGCTCTGTGACGTGCAGACTTGCTGCTTCAGAAGGCTGGCTTGGTGTTTGTGTTATAAAAATCAGGATCTGAGTTGAGAACTAATGAAGGACTAAGTAAGAGGGAATGCATGGATATAGGGAGGAGGTATGGGCAGTGTGGAAGACAAAGGGGCTCCAGAATTTCCATAGTCCCTGTGTTAAAGAGTGCCTTGTTTCTGCAGTGAACAGAACAGGCAGAGGAAGCCCCTAGGAAGGATTAGGTGGCCTTTGAAGAGGAAATGCACCTCTTGAGTGCAGGTAGGCATTGTTAATGCACTCAGCCCAGTAAAACAAGATTAGGTGAAGTGTTGGGAGACTTGCTTTTTAACTGTGTTTCAAATTAAGACATGCAGTCTGTGATGCCAACCTGCTCTTTTGGTATGTGCAAACTGAAAGTAGCTCAGTCATCCACCTGACCAGGCAGTTCTTTCTTTTTCCCTGTGAGGAGTGATCAGTGATCAAAAAGACGATTTTAAGCCTATATACTACTTTTATAAAAGAAGACATAGCTTTAAGGGTCGTCTGCCTTGTTGGAACAGCACAGGGGAGTTCTGGGTCTCCTTCTGAGAGCACCATTGGGTGGCTCTTGTGGATCTAGCAAGTAGGTGGAGGACATGTTTCTGCAAACACTGGGGTGGTATTAAAATTAAGGGGGGAAAAAAGATAGTTTCACATCCTGAGAGGGGAGGAGGGTGTTAACTGTAGGATTAGAAGGAAAGAAGAAACCAAGGTAAGCACTGAGGTTCTAGAGAGTTGCTCTTTTCTTGGAGGAAGTATTTCATTGGGTGCTGTGGGAGGCAGCCTAGCATGTTCTAGAAAGTTCATCTTGGCAGACGGACGTCATGAGGCTAAAAAGAGAAACCAAGCAATGTTGGGTTTCTGCTTTGCCTTGTTGATGGTGTATAATATATGCTAGGCCAAAAGTGGAACAGAAAATTGCAAATAAGCCGGTGAGCTGGAGGGAGATGTTACCCAAGGAAGACTTGGGGGGTTTTTTTTGGTCACTTCAATTTATCCTAGATAGTGTTAAGGAGGAGTGGCTCTGGAAGATGGGAGGGGCCTGCTGAGAGTGTGCCAGGAGATACCTGAGTTTTCACCCAGTGTTATTTATGCCAAGATCTGACAGAATATATTCTCCTGAATTGTTTTCTATCTTTGGAAATTATTGACCAGCTTTTTCCCTAAAGATTGTGTAAGTTCTTGTAATGCACAACTACAAGTGAGGCATCTGAAGGACATCAAAATTTCTTAAAGGTGGTTTTTTTTTGTTTTTTGTTTTTTTTTTTGGTTAAGATTGCAGCCACTGCAGATTGGGTCGCACAAAAAATAGAGACTGTGGTGGCGTGCATAAGGAGAGACATCTTCCCCTTGGGTGTGTATTATGGAAGTGTTTGGCAGCAGTGGGAGTGGAATAAGCTTGTCAGCAGAGTTCAGGTGTTTGTTTGGCCTCTTTTTCCTTTGTAGTTTTATGTGGGTTCCTTTGACTTCCAAATCCTGCAAAAACCTCATAAGAGAAGTCCTGCTGTGTAGAGAGAGCCCTTTGCATCCTGGGTCCTGCTAATCATGTGGGTGTGGGGATGGTGGATCATGGGGCAGCCAGGGATAGACTCATCCCTGCAGTAGCTCGGTGGGGTCTGCTCTGAGCTACCTGAATTGTCAGGAAAATGTTTTGCATGTGTACAGTGCTGTCACCAGCGCAGTGGGTGCTGAGTATTTGCAGTCTCCCAAATAACCAAGTTTGTACCTTGGTGAACAGTCAGCTCAGCTGTGGGCATGTGGGTCTGCTGCAACATGGTCTGGAAAACTGCTGTTGCATCAGGAGATATGTTGGGTTCAGAGAGCTCAGCCGACCTGGGCTGTTCCAGCCAAAGCTCTCCTTCAGCTTCCAGTGCATAGTTTTGGAAAACTGTATTATCTCCTCTCTAGATAAAAGCCTGCTTGTCATACTTCTGCATGGTATCAGCACAGGGAAGAAGAGGGGTTGGGCCAGATTTGGCAGGTTCAAGGCTGCTGCTCACATCCTCCCATGTGATACTGGCCAGACAAACTCTGCCTGGAAGGTGGCAGCAGCAAGACACTGTTGTGTCACACTCTCCAATTGCAGAAGAACTTTGCCACACATCCATGGAGTAGCACCTTATAAATGTACTCACATTTCTGGGAAGTTTACCTTCTTGGCTAATGTAAGTGCAGAGAATTCAGATGGAGTAAAACTTTTTTGGGAGTTGATATTAGTGCTCTCCTGGAAATTACTAACTGAGGAAGAAGTAAACGTTTTGTTCTGTCAGCAGTTGTTTCCTGCAGTGGTTAGTTTGGTTACTTTTAAACATCTTTCTTTAAAAAGGTGCCTTTTTTCTACTGTAATTTTGTTTGTATTTTAATTTCTCCGTCTTTCAGCATGGGGTGATATGCAGTGGGATACAAACAGATGTGATATATTAACAGCTGCACAGTGGATAGTCAGCTGTTTCATTTAATATACATGTTATTCGTAGCTTTTGGACAATGTTCACAAGTAGCTTGTGTCCAGGATTTTTTTATTTATTCCTATGTTGGGAATTTTTGGCAATGGAGCCTCCAGCTGTATAGAGAGGTGGGTTGATTATGGCATACCAGGGGCATGATGACTTGCAGTCCTGGATCAGACCTGCTGAACAATCTGAAATTTCTTGGGTTTGTTTCCAGTCTGAGTGGAAAAGACAAACAGTGTATATGTAGTGGAAAGTTTGAGCTATAGTAAACTTTGCAGAAACATCCTCCTGCATTTTGGTTTTGTGCTGGCCCCAGGAATTCCAAGCAGTACCTAATCTGGAGCTCTTGGCAGACTACAAAGGCAGGGTCAGCACTGTGGGACAAGTCTGGAGCCCTAGGTAAGGAGTGTGTCCAGGGTCAGTGTTAGATGAGTTGATCAGCTGGAGGTGGAATTAAATTGCAGACAGATCTGAGCTGAACAGGGAATGACCCTATCTGTCACTTCTAAATTCCAGGCTTGTCTGGGAAATGTGAGTCCTGATATGGTGAGGTTAAGCCTCACCATATCAGGACTTGTGTACAAGGAGTAGAACATTCATAGGGAAAAGTCTCTTGAATCTCCCTGCTGATACGGGAAATGATGTTAGGGGAAAAAATGTTTCATTCAGTTATTCCACAGATACACAGAAGGAAACCAAGGGGAGAATGCAGAGGGATTGCTGGATGAAGCTGAACATGGCTGCTGGTCCTGAATTTCAGCTTCTGTGTGCTGTGAGGATTAGATTTGGTTTTAAGGCTGTTCTTAGTGGGAAAGGCACAGGAATAAATAGTATTATGGTTGCAACTTAGTCATTATTGTAGTGATTAATTGAATCACAGAATCTCAGAATGATTTGGGTTGGAAGGGATCTTAAAGCTCATCTTGTTCCACTCCCTGCTGTGGGCCAGGACACCTTTCACTAGACCAGGTTGCTCCAAGACCTGTCCAACCTGGCCCCAGGGATGGGGCAGCCATAGCTACTCTGGGCAACCTGTTCCAGTCCCAAGTTGCTGTAAATTCAAAGAGGATTCCTGGTTTCTTGTTTGATTTATTTTTTTATATTTTTTGCTCTCCTAATTCAGTATCGTTACGACAGGCATCACAGTGGCACTCCTGGGCTGGTCAGTGGGGCAAGTTACCTGTACATCAACACCCATAATGCAGCTGCTGTACCTTGTTATGCTTTACCTTGGGGCTGTGAGGAAACATTTAAGGAAATTTGCTTTGCTGGAGTTGTAATTCCTAATAGGAATCTTAAAAAAGAAAAAGAAATGGGTTGATCGCACTACAATGTTCTTGAATGGCAAAAGGTGTGAGACACACCGAGGGCTTTGCTGTGGCTGGTGGCTGTGCAAGAGCACAGAGCAGTCTGCTGTTCCCACAAGACTGCAAATCGGTGCTGGTGCATCTGTGGGCTGAGCTCTGGCTGTACCCAGTGTGCCTTGTGCTTCATGCTGGCTTTGCCACTGGAGGGCATATGAAGGAGAAGCAAAAGGTGCTTTTCTTGCTTCTCTTAGAATTTCTTCTCGTAACTTCCCATTAGAAGGCATGTGGCATTGAGCACGGGGCAGTTGGTGTGGATTTACACTACACTGATAATTGTGCCTGTGCATCTTCTGTCCATAGTGAGTGTGAAGTAGCTGCTCTCTGTTTACCATGACTATTAATTGCCACCACTCTGGTGGAGCAGGGAGAGCAGCCAGAGATGCTCACAGCAGAGTAGCTATTGCGCTCTGCACCCCAATGGCTTGCCCAAGCACCTTTTAATCATGTAATTTCACCTGGAATACCATAACATTGAGGCAGGCTGTGACACAGGAGTGTCAACACCTTAAGTGAGCCAACAAGAAAGAGGGGCTTTTTACAAGAGCATAAAGTGACAGGACAAGTGGGAATGGTTTCAAATCAAAAGAGAGTAGGTTTGGATTAGATATTAGGAAGTTCTTTGCTATGTAGATGGTGACCTCCTGGCATAGGTTGTCTAGAGAAGCTGTGGAAGTGTTCAAGTGTTCAGGTTGGACAGGGCTTGAAGCAACCTAGTGTAGTCCCTGCCCATGACAGGGGGGTGGAACAAGATGGACTTCAATGTGCCTTCTGACCCAAACCATTCTGGGATTCTGTGATTCCATGAAGCAGGCGATGCAGTTGGTGAGAGAGCTCCTCATGTTGGAATGCAAAAGACTGATATTGTAGAAAACCAAAGGAGAAAATGGCCTTTCTAGGGGTTTCAGTTTCAAATTGTTTATGTTGTTGTTTTTTTCTTTTGTCAAAAGTTTGGGGGTCATGGCTAGCCTGGTAATTTGCATCTGGATTTTGTACCACCACCATAAGGCATTGGTAGTAGCAGTGCCACAGCAGTTATTGCCAGGAATTTAGCAGCAATCCATGCTGTACTTCCTGCATGTGCCTGTGACATTGATTGTGCTGTTCTCCAGTGTATCAGAGTGGAAAAGCTGAAAAGTAAGTCAGCAATGCTGTAAAACCTTCAGCCATCTGTGTTCCCCTTGTGCAGTGCAGCTGAGCTATTGGTGGTGTGGAACCTTCTGTGCCAGGATGGGCAGGACAGGCATTTTGGCCTCAGAAAGCACCAGCACATTTGATTTAGCACAGCATCCTCATGGTAGTCATAGGGTCAGACTGTACTGAGGCTCTCCTTAGTCTTTGGACACTCCAGTCATAAGAATTTAATTAGATTTTACTGTTTTGTGCTATGGTGATTGTGGTTTCCACTGCCTAAATCCTGTTTTCCTGAGCTGCCACTTGTACAGAGAGTACGAAGCACGTTTAGAGCGATACAGCGAACGGATCTGGACATGCAAGAGCACAGGAAGCAGCCAGCTGACACACAAAGAGGCTTGGGAGGAGGAGCAGGAGGTTGCTGAGCTGTAAGTACTGGCGGAGACGTGGGTTTGTGCCTATCTTTAGGTGTTGCGGTGTAAGAGTGGGCTTGGGAATGTGTGGCTAGTTGGTGAGGCGAGGTAAGGAGCTGTAAGGAGATCTGGGGATTCTGGAGTTAAAAGCAAATTAAGTCCAAATTTTAAACCATCACTAATACAATTGGCCAATTTACTTATTTAGTGTTGTATCTTGGTATTACTTGAACCAGAATAGTTCAGCATATGGCACTTGGCATATTTTAAAGTCCCTGGAGTGTCAGGAATATTTTAGAGAGAAAAAAAAGTAGATCTTTAACAACGTACAGTCAAAATAGAGTAAAAGGAGTCAGTTGAAGTGTTTGACATCAGCCAGGTCTGCACCTGTAATTATTTTCTCCAGATCTGCATTAGAGTTGTTGCACTAATTAAAAAAAAGTTGTAGTGAGATTTTCGGGAATCTACTCTACTTGAAACAACAAGAGTCCTTGTTCTGTGCAAATTGTGTTCCTCTGGGCTGGTGTGACCCTGACCTCCTCCTCTAGCCCACAGGAGTCCTTGGATGAGACCCAGCATGGCCTTTGTCATAGAAGTGAATTTTCTGTAAAGGTGCAAGTCCTTGTCTCAACCAGCACATATAATTTACTGTGTGATTACCAAATCATAGGAATTATGCCAAAGAAATGATGTATTTCTCCATTCTGTCAACTGATGACTTGGACTTCTGTGACTTTTTTTCCCCTGGATACGAACAGTGGAGAATGTCAGCAGTACTGCCTAAGAGGTGGAATTTTATGCTGCCTCTCTTCATGTTTCTGATCCATTGACAAAGAGTTCACAGCCTTCTCCTAAGGAGAAATTGACCATCATTTGTGGTTAATCACAATCTTAAAGCCAACAAATAAGAAGCCCATTTGCTAATAGTCCTAATTTCTTTGAGGGGTGATGCACTACTGCTTTCAGGCTTTGCTTCCTGGTGTTCTGGTTTGAGAGGGCAGGGGAAGTGCAGAGGCAGCTCCATAAACATAAAATCCTGAGTCAAAGCTCAGTGGTCTGCTGCTACTTTCTTTTGGTTGTCCGTGTTGGATTGATTGACCACTTCTGGAAACATTAAGAAATGTCAGTGAAATAGAAACAGGAGATTTCTTGAATTTCTCAATAACAAATTTAGCTATAGTCTTTCTAATATGGAGGTGGGGGGTGGGGTGTGGGAAGATTCCATGAAATGAGATTTTGGTCTTGTCTCTTTGAAGCGGGATGAAAAGCTTCACAGGTAGTTTGTCTGCTTTAATACCTGACACTAAGCTGGATAAAAAAGTTCATTTAGACAGTTTGCTAAAGGGATAAATTTGCTTATGGCAGTTGTAACACAGCACATATAGGCTGAGGGCTCTCAGCCATGGATCCTGGTGTCTGGGAAGATGCAAGTGCTTTGGAAAAATGGAGTATTTTTTTCCTCCTTATGGTAACTTGAAATGGACTTTACTTTTTAGCCAGAAGGCTTTGTGCAACATATGCCTTAGTGCCCCTGCCAACTTCCTGAGGTCAGCTTTTAGAAGGGAAAGAAGGGAAGTTAATGTCACAGTCCTTTTGTTTATTTGAAAAAATTTGAAGATCATGACGTGTGAAATACAAAAGATGTTTTTCTCTGGCAAGATAATATGATTGTGTAAACCTGCTCCTGTCTTTACTGCACTGGCAGCCTGTTGGGAGAGAAGGAAATACTAAATCTTTATCAGAATCATGGTGTTACTGGAAACAAGTATTTTAAAGTAACGAGCCCCGGGATAATGGCATCATCTTGATCTGTATTTAATATCTAATAGAGAAACAGTAATAATCATGAAAGGGTTCACACTCAGTGCTGCTCTTCCTGAGTGTTTACAGTATTCCTTCTGGGAAGAACCAGGACAACTGGGATTTTCATGCCAGCTAACACCTGGGGAAGGGTGGGGAGCAAAAAGCCCTTGGATGTTTGCATGCTAATGGAGCATCTGCCTCATTGTGGCAGTTAACAGGAATTCCTGGAATTGGGAAAGGGGAGGGTACTTTGCATTTGGGCTTTTATTCCCTTGAATAAGGAAAACTTCTGTGCTTGCTCAGCTTAAAGGAGGAGTTTCCTATCTGGTATGAGAAACTGGTCCTGGAAATAGTCCACCACAACACTGTGTCATTGGAAAAGTTGGTGGATGCTGCTTGGTTGGAGATCATGACCAAATTCGCAGTGGGTGAAGAGTGTGACTTTGAGGTAAGAATATGTTTTCTGTTTTATCCTGTGCTTCTGCATAGGGCTGATTCCAGATAGCTAAAGGTAGGAGATGGGAAGAATATGTTAGCCGCTCAAGTTATTAGAAGGATGTGAAAATTTATTCTCTATGGAATCCCAGTGACAGCACCTGCTTTTGGATGGAAAATGGTCCTGTAAGCCATACTTCTGGTGGAAGGTGTCCATGTCAGGGGTTTGGAACTGGATGGTTTTTAGGGGCCCTTCAACTCAGACCATTCCAGGATGCTGGAATAATAGCAAGCGAAAAATGACTGATATATGTGTGTGCATGGGAAACAGATAAAATTGTTATACTGCTTGAATATGTGATGATCTGTTTATAGATAAATACATGATTTAATTAGAAGAAATTAAAAATTATAGTCTGTCTTAATCTTTTCGCTTGACACGTTGCCAGAAGGAGCAGTAGTCTGAAACAAATGGACTCTGAAGTCAAAGCATGAAAATCTGTAAAAAGACCCTAAAGATTTGAGAGTTCCTTCGAAAACTGGGAACGTTGATGAAAACTCCAACTTTTTGAAAATGGGGAGGAGTTAATGCTGTGCGTGGGCAGTGTTTAAGACCTAGTCTCTAAACTGGGGTTGCTGAGAGCACAGTTGCACCTTGTGCACATGCTGTGTGCTTAGGCTGAGGAAGCAGCATTGGGGAACGCTGTGGGTTGGGAGTTTTGCTTTTAGGTCATCTTAGCTGGTACTTTTCCCTTCCTCATAGTGTTAAAGCCCGTTAGCTCATCTGTCTTGTTCAAGTTCAGTCTTCACCAATATTTCTGTCCAGGTTGGTAAGGAGAAAATGTTGCCTGTAAAAGTTGTGAAAATGCATCCCCTGGAGAAAGTTGACGAAGAAGCCTCCGAAAAAAAATCTGACGGAGCTTGTGATTCTCCATCCAGTGACAAGGAGAACTCCAGCCAGGCAGCCCAGGACAACCAGAAGGAAGCGATGCTGAAGGAAGATGACAGCAGGAGGGATAGTATGAGTAAGTAGAGAGACAGCATGGCAGTAGGCAGCACCTGGCATTGAGTGTTGGAGTTTGCTCAGTGATCAAATTTACATCTTGGTGCTGCGCTGTGAATGTCCAAACAGTGTTATAGGGTGAAAATCCAGAAATTGTCCTTGTTAGTGGTGAATTTTTGGAGCATCAGTGCTGTTGGCTTTCAGCTGTTCTTGCCTGATTTAAAGCAGAAAATGTGCTGTCATTCTAAGGTGTAATACCAAAAACAATGCATGAAATGTATAAAAATCGAAAGTATAACAAGTGTATTTAAAACAAAATGCGGGGAACAGCAAAGGTTCGTTCAGAATTATGAAGTTCTACTGCAGTGTTCATCCTCAGAGTAAACCTCCCTGGTTCTAAAGTGTGTTATTTTGGAGTCAGAGACAAGCTCTAATTCTCTTTGTCCCCGGTTGTTATGGAAAATGAGGTTTTTTCATTTTTAGTTTATTCTCTTTCCAATCATCATATGTTGAGACAAAAATTTTTTTTTCTTTCCCTAACAGTTTAAAATAAAGCATCCTTTAAAACCTTGTTCCTCTTTCAAATGCTCTTCCTTGGTGCAAAGATAGCTGGTGCTGTCCAAGGCTTTTCTTGACTCTGAAGAAATATTGTTGGGAAAAAAACAAAAAAAAACCAACTAACCCCCCCTCCCCCAAAAAAACCCCCCCCAAAAAAAAAAAAAAAAAAAAAAAAAAAAAACAAAAAAAAAAAAAAAAACCAAAAAAAAACCACCAAAAAAACCCCACCAAAACCCAAACAAACACATTGTCCGTTGTCCTGTGCAACTTCTTAAAAAGGAATTATACTTTAAAACAGATTACAAAAAGTGTTTTCAGACAAACCAACCCCCAATCCCACAACATAGTTCTAACCTGGAGAGCTTTGTTTTCAAGTCTCATAAATGAATAAACTGTTGGCATTTGTAAGTAGTGGCTCCAGCATTCGGGAAAGTTGTGTTATCCCCTCTAATGTGGGGAATCGGAAACTTTGAAAATAGTCCAGCAAGAAAATAGCGAAGTCAGGAGTGGAAAAGAAGTCATATCAAGGTCTAGTCCTGAGCTTAAAAATTATCAGCTCTTTTCGATGGGTACTGTTATGAGCTGTTCTGATTTCATTGCAGTGTTCTGTATAATAAAGAAGCAAAAAAGGCGTTACAGAAACAATCTGGCGTTACACACATTATTGGAAACAGGGATTGTGCTTGGATAGGGGCTAATGATGCTTTATTTATTTATTGAGTATTTTTTATTGAGTGTGATTTTCTCAAGATGCCACATAAGAGGCATGGGAAATACCTTTTACTTCAAAAATGCTCAGTGATCAAATTTACAGCAGCTATTTTGGATCTGGATGATTAAATAAGATTTACCATGATCCTTTGGGCATTGGTGTGTGGTATTCCAGCAGCTGTGGGCATTGCCAGTGCAGCACTTCCAAGATTGGATACTGCAGGAATGAGGGCTCCTGCTCTTGTTTCAGTCCCTGACTCAGTTGGTTCTGGCCTGTGTATATAGTCACCTCTGGAAACTGGGACTGTCCTCCCCTTCCTGGAAAAGATGAACCCCAACGTTTTCCAGCTCAAGGTGCTGGCATAGTCATAACCTAAGCAGTAAACATGCATTCTTTTATTTTTTTTCTTTGTACATATGCTGTTACTAAAAGACTGTTGCTGATGCTTTTTTATTCTGGGTTATAACAGCACATAGGCTCATAGTAACATAATTGAAACAAATTCTTCCAGAGTGTGTTAATATAATTATGTAGCAGTTCTTACAGTTACACAGAAAACTACAGGAATAGGAAATGTTGAGTTGCATCCACAGAGGCTGGGGGATCCCAGCAACACTGACCTGGACTTTTTCTCTCTAATAATGTTCACATGTGGCCCCTTGATATGGGTTGAAATCACTACTCTAGAGTGAGTAACTGGAAGCAGTAACAAGCTCTGTATAACTGTGATGTAAGAGCTGTGTGTGCCTGCGTGCACGAGAGGGGACAGAGCAAACTGGCAGTTCTATTAGTACTTGTGTCAAACTTGCTGGTTTTGCTGGAGGACAAATGGGGCAGAAAATTATAGTTTCAGTCTCCCTGCTTAGGGGTCTACTGTCCTTCAGAAGCTAAAAATAAGGCATTATACCAGCTTTGTTGCATCATTTGTGTGGTCTGAAGTGACTTTATATTTTTAGTTGGTTAGGGAATGAACTCTGGAAAATCTGCAGGAGCAAGGAAAGGCTGGAAAATTGATGGTGAACTGCTGAAGGCTGGTTCTGTAACATGAGCTGGACTTAGAACCTGTACTGCTCTGGACAATCTGAAATAACGTGAATACAGGAGACAACACAATATAGATGCTTTAGAAACACAGAATCAGCTGTGCTGGAAAGGACCTTAAAGATGCTCTCATTCCAACCCCCCTGCTCTGGACAAGAGCATCTTCCAGTAGACCATTTTCCTAAGAGCTTCATCCAGATGGCTTTGAACTCTTCCAGGCATAAATGTATGTTTTATTACAATAGAATGCAAGAACAAATGAAGTTGGCTTGTTAAAATTAACTTAAGGGTGGAATGGATAGTATTTTCTTCCTCCTCACCCAAATATCCAGGTGCTGTTTGATGGAATTCCATATAGCCATCCCTATTTGTGGAATCTAGACAGTAAATCACAAAAGAAGAGGTCACTTGGGTTTATACCAAGTTAGGTATAATGGTGCTGGAGCTTCAATTATGTGATTCTGAGATCTATATTCTTAAGTTTTATTTAGGTTTAACATCTACTTTTATTCTCTATATATTTAGTAGATTATTACTCTCATCCCTCATGCTTGCTTTATTGTTTCCTTTGAAGCCTAGGAAGAAATTCTTCCCTGTGAGAGTGGTGAGCCCCTGGCACAGGTTGCCCGGAGTAGCTGTGGCTGCCCCATTCCTAGAAGTGTCTAAGACCAGGTTGGACAGGGCTTGTAGCATGCTGGTCTAGTGGAAAGTGTCTCTGGTCTAGTGAAGGTGGGGGGTGGAATGAGATGAGCTTTAAGGTCCCTTCTGTCTCAGACTATTCCATGATTCTGTGGTAGTCACAAACATAAAAACATTTGGAGATTACTTTCTTTTTAAGAAAGGAAAAAAAAAAACCAAAAAAAAACAAAAAAAAAAAAAAAAAAAAAAAAAAAAAAAAAAAAAAAAAAAAAAAAAACCAAAAAAAACAAGTCAGTGATTCCTGCCATGGAACTATTTTCAACAAAGGCATGGCATAGGCAGCCAGGGCTGTTGGAGGAGTTCCCTTAGCAGGTTTACTGGTTGGGTTATATCTCCCCTTCATAAATCTTAGAGACATTTTCTACCTTTGTGTATGTGGTTGCAGCTTACTGTCTGCAGAGAGATGGGTTTAAATGAAGATGGTCCTTTGTACTCCTTGAAGATAGGTTTACCTCCTTAGTTCAGAGCTGCTCTGGGCCTCCATTCCTGGCCTGTATTTTCTGGCTATTTCTAAAACCCTGTTTGGGTTATATTCCTAATGTTCTAGTTTAACCAAACACTGTACAGATGGCAAGAAGTAGGGTGTCCTGCCTGTCCAGTGGTGGTCTGGATCTTTGAAACTTTTTTTTTTAACTATAATAAGACTGTGTCTCACCTTCTTTTATCAGATGATCGAGCACGTAGGTCTCCTCGAAAGCTTCCCACTTCGTTGAAGAAGGAAGAAAGGAAGTGGGCCCCACCTAAATTCCTGCCGCACAAATACGATGTCAAACTGAAAAATGAAGATAAGGTGACTTGTCTGCTTGAGTCCTTTCTATTATAATATGAATATGCAAGCTTAATTAATCACTGCTGGTGATTATACAGCACAATGTAGTACTTTCTGCCAGAGTCATGGCATTGGAAGCAGGACAGTTGTCTGTGAGGATGACCAGCCTGTCTCTTTCTATCTGTAATTAGGTTCTGTGCATGGAAACACTTGGTACCACACACGTTGAGTCACAGGGCTTTATTGTGGTTGCTATTAAGTGCCTCATCTCTAGTCTTGCAGTTCCTGAGACCAGTGAAATCATGAGTGGCAGGTGTTGCTGTTATCCTGACCAAGCTGCTCTGAGTTGGAGGTGGCAGTGCTTTGGGAGGCTTTGGATAGTTGCAGCACTGCTCTGTGCTTTTTGTCTGCTCTTTGGTAATTTGACAAGTGAGGCAGTGCTGACCTCAAAGAGTACCATGTGCAGAGGTGCTCCTTTGGTCTCAGGAAAAAAATGAAACATGGATATTTAAAAGCTTTAAAGTCAGTAGCAAGCAAGCTGGAGGAAGGTCAGAGATAAAACAGTGGGCTTTGGCAAAAATTCTGCATCATAAACTCATGGTTTTTACTGTTTTAGCTATCTGATTCTCCTACCAATCTCTGTGTGTCTCAGTTCTGCAAATGCTGTTTGGTTTGAGTCTTTCCAAGAGAGCTTTGAATGAGCGAAGAGTTTTTGGACATGAAGCAGTACAATGATCCTGGTTCCTTGTAGGCATATGATCTGTATTTATAATGTGGTTAAAAGTTAATCATTAACAGTGTGTCTGTTATATCCAAGATCATCAGCAACGTTCCAGCAGATAGCTTAGTCCGTACAGAGCGTCCTCCCAACAAGGAGATCCTGAGGTACTTCATCCGTCACAATGCGCTACGTGCTGGCACGTGTGAGAATGCCCCATGGGTTGTGGAGGATGAGTTAGTGAAGAAGTACTCTCTCCCCAGTAAATTCAGTGACTTCTTGCTTGACCCACATAAGGTAAGAATTCCTGAAAGTACCTGCTTTGCTTTGCCACCCATTCCTTGGGTCTTGGCAGAGACCTCAGTGTGCTGGTTGGGTTTTAGAATCACAAAATCATTAGGACTGGAAAAGCCCTACAAGATGATCAAACCTCACTGTTACCCAGCACCACAGAGGCCACCACTAAACCATGTCCCCAAGTGCCACGTCCACATATCTGTTAAATCCAGAGAGAAGCAGAGCAGGAAAACCTACTCTTTTGTAGGTTGACCTTTTGAGAGGTGGCATGGCTTGAACATCAGGAATAGTGGTGTGCTTTAAAAATTTGAGATGCAACTGCCTTTTTATTTTTCCAGTGGTTTGCATTACTTGTCTACAAGTAAAGACGTGATTTCCTGGTGTAAGAGAAATGGGAGAGCTACAGTCTTTATGTGGTAGTGTCAGGTGTTGGGCCCAACACCTGGATGCATGTGACTGCATGAGGCCTGATTCATGTACAGGGCTGCATTGAGCGATGGCAGATATACAAATTTAGTACTGAATACATACATAGCATGAATGGGTTCTTCTGGCCCTTAGTGCTGACCAGCCAGATATAATACTGACCAACTAAATGCCATACCATGAAATGTGCTGTCTTAAAATCCATCTTCTGGTGTAGAAAGCACTATTTGGTTCATTCAGTAAACTCACTTTTTCATAGACTGTCAAGTGTTGTTTTAAAACTAGAAGATAAATATTTGTTCAGGACAGGGGGGAATGACTTCAAATTCACACAGAGTAGGTTTAAATTGGATATTGGGAAAAAATTCTTCCCTGTGGGGATGGTGAGGCCCTGGCACAGGTTGCCCAGAGAAGCTGTGGCTGTCTCATCCCTGGAAGTGTCTGAGTCCAGTCTGTACAGGGCTTGGAGCAACCTGGTCTAGTGGTGTCTGTGCCATTGGCAGGGGTTGGAACAAGATGGTCTTTATGGTCCCTCTGAACCTGGGCCATTCTCTGACTCTGATTATGATTGCAGAAGCCTGTTACCCTTAATGCAGTGAGCAATTTCATTAGAAAAAAACATTAAAAAATGGGCAAAAATAATTGACAGAGATCTAGGTAAGTTTTATTTACCTTTTAATATTAATACAAAATAATTCTTCCTTTAATTGTAGTATATGGCTCTTAATCCCTCAACCAAGCGGAAGAGCTCTCGGTCACCTGAAAGAAAGCTTCCTAAGAAATCCAAAGCAGATGGATCTTCACTGGGACAGCCACTGAGTCCAGCCCTATGGTGTCATGTGCATTTGGAAAAATCTGTAATTGGCTCTCCGCTGAAGGTGAAGAACTCAAAGAACTCCAGTTGTCCTAAAGAGGAGCTGGAAGAGGTGATGAAAATTGTGTCACCTGCTAAACTTGGTTCTAACTTTCACATTCCAAAGAGGAGCCGACTAGGAAAGGGCAACAACAAATCCTTGGACAAAAAGCAAAGAGGCAAAAGGGTTCTGAATGGGCAGAAGTCGTCGGGGAAGGCAAAGTCTCCTAGGAAAGGTTTGAAGACCCCCAAGATGAAAATGAAACAAATGACACTGCTGGACATGGCTAAAGGTACCGCTAAGGTGTCTAGGGCTCCTAGGAATTCTGGAGGCACCCCTGGATCTTCCAGGAAACCCCAGAAACATCTGCCTCCTGCAGCGCTCCATCTCATTGCCTATTACAAAGAAAACAAAGACCGGGAAGACAAAAAAAGTGCTCTTTCCTGCATCATCTCCAAGACAGCTCGGCTGCTTTCCAATGAGGACCGTGCTCGTCTCCCCGAGGATTTACGAGCGTTGGTACAGAAACGCTATGAGCTCCTGGAACACAGGAAGAGATGGGCCACCATGACTGAGGAACAGCGGAAGGAGTACATGAAGAAGAAAAGGGAAAAGCTGAAAGAGAAACTGAAGGAAAGAGCAAAGGAGCGGAAGGAGAAGGAGATGAAGGAAAAACTGGAAAAACAGAGGAGATTTGAGGACCAAGATCTTAAAGGGAAGACACTGCCTACTTTTAAACTGGTTGATACTCCAGAGGGACTTCCTAACACACTTTTTGGGGATGTGGCCATGGTGGTGGAGTTCCTGAGCTGTTACTCAGGGTTATTGATGCCAGATGCTCAGTATCCCATCACAGCAGTGTCCCTGATGGAAGCCCTTTGTGCAGAAAAGGGAGGCTTCCTGTACTTGAACAGAGTGCTGGTCATCCTCTTGCAGACCCTGCTGCAGGATGAAATTGCTGAGGATTATGCTGAGCTGGGAATGAAACTTTCTGAAATCCCACTTACTCTGCATTCCGCTTCAGAGTTGGTTCGCCTGTGCCTGCGCAAGTCAGATGTGCAAGAGGAAAGTGAGGTCTCAGATAATGTAGATGAAAGTAAGGATTCAGCAGCTTTCGAGGATAATGAGGTACAGGATGAGTTTTTGGAGAAACTGGAGACATCGGAGTTCTTTGAGCTGACTCCTGAAGAGAAATTGCGGATCCTTGGAGCGCTGTGTCACCGCATCCTAATGACGTACTCGGTGCAGGACCATGTGGAGGCCAAGCAGCAGGCCTCAGCTGAGCTGTGGAAAGAGCGCCTGGCTGTCCTGAAGGAAGAGAATGACAAGAAGAGGGCAGAGAAACAGAAGCGAAAAGAAATGGTGGCTAAAACCAAGGAGAATGGGAAAGTAGAGCATATGATGGGAAGGAATGAAAAGAAAAAACACGAAATTATGAAAATAGAGCACCGGGTGGAAATTGAAGCCGATGATATGATCAGTGCTGTGAAGAGCAGGCGCCTTCTTGCCATCCAAGCCAAGAAGGAGAGGGAGCAACAAGAAATACAAATGAGAGGTAAGAAAAATTACCTAGCGAGCAGAGTGTTTGTGTGTTGTGGAATAACTTCATGGCAAAAATGACAGCCTGTTTTCAGAAGCATTGTCTGAATGCTTATGAATGAAAACTTCAGAATATAGATCTCAGAATCACATAACAGAGCATTGAATCTCCAGCACCATTATACCTAACACAGTATAAACCCAAGTGACCTCTTCTTTTGTGATTCACTGTCTAGATTCCACAGATAGGGATGCCTATATGGAATTTAAGGGATTTGCTAACTGGAGATTTATAATTCATCTCCTGTGGTTCCTGTGGCAGCTTAAACTTTGTAAATCTAAGAAAAACTAATACCTGCTTCTAGTTTTTTATCTGTATCTGTCTTTTCGTCAGTACCTTTCTAATTATGGCAGGCCCAGGGAGGTTGGACAGCACAGTATCTGTTTTAGGAACAGAAAATAACCAAAAATTTGTCTTATGTCCAAACATCATCTCATTCTTGGGTACAGAGGAGATATTTCCTGCCTAAAATCAGGTCCTACTGCTGCTGCTGGCCCTGCTGCTGTTCCTGTGGTAAGCTTGTTGGCAGCAGCCCTTCTCTCATACCAGGATTTGGGCAATAAATCTCAGTCTAGAGTTTCTCTACTGAGAATTTAAAGTACTTTAAAGAATTAGTTATGGGGCTGTATAAATATAAACTGTCCACTCAAACCTCTCTAAATCACGAGTTGCGACACCAGACCTTGTTTCTGTGTAGGTAGTGCTGCTTGAGGAGTAAAGAGAGAATACTTTGGAATTACAGTTTAGGGGTTTTATTGGTTGTAAATGTAGATGCTGGGTGGATGGAAGTGGACAGTATTGCTCATCTAGGTTGTTATTTTCCTTCTGAAACAAGTGAGGGGTAAACATCCCTCATGGAGCCTGGCTTTTGCACCTCAGCTGGAATGTGGGAGTATCTGTTCTGGGAGACCAAGAATCACAGAGTGGTTTGGATTGGAAGGGACTTTAAAGTTGATCATGGTCCACTCCCACTTCATGGGCAAGGACACCTTCCACTAGACCAGGTTGCCCCAGGTCTCATCCAGCCTAGCCTGGCACAGAGAAGCTGTGACTGCCCTATCCTTGGAAGTGTCCAAGGCCAGGCTGGACAGGGCTTAGAGCAACGTGGTCTAGTGGAACGTGTCCCTGACCACGGCAGGGTTGGAACAAGATGATCTTTAAGGTGTCTTCCAACCCAAACCATTCCATAATTCTGTGATATGACAGTTTTTATCCAGGGTTTCTTCAGCCCAGTCCATTCTTACACCTTGACTACTTCTTCTATATCTATCTATATGGGATTTTTTTTACTTTTTTTTTTTTAGAATGGTGGGCAGAAAATAAACAGACGAGTGTATGATTGTAAAGAATGTTTATTAGATTCCCCTATAAAATGCTTTTTTTATTCCCATGGTATAGTAAAATAAAAGACAATATTTATGTCTGGATGCAATAAAAGAAAGCTAATGCTGCTCTTTGCTGATTCTGACAGTGAGGATGGAGAAAGAAGCAGAGGAAGAAAGAATCCGGAGGCATAAAGCTGCTGCTGAGAAAACTTTCCAGGATGGAATTGCCAAAGCCAAACTGGTGATGCGCAGGACCCCAATTGGCACTGACAGGAATCACAACAGGTGGGAAAGGAAATGACTATGAACTTCCATCTCTGCCCTGAGAGAGGGGCTGTGTCAGATACCGTCCCCCAGGAAGGGATTGATAGGGAGGATATGTAGAATTGCAGAGGAGAGAGAAGGGGAAAGTATTTGTGTGTATGAAGTATAGTGGCTGCTTATGTGCTCAGCTTTTTGAAGCCTTCCCATGGAGGTCAGGACCAGTGGAGGTTCGAGTGCTGGCATTGGGTGCTCAGGAACCTCGTTACCATATTTTCTTTTTTTTTTTTTTTCATGATTGTTGCACGGGCATGCTCTTGGAATGGATTTTAAGCTAAGCCTTCCGTGTTTCTCAGCTGGGCTAACATAAAGATATGCATGCATTCAGCTTTAATGAGTTGAGCACACAGATGCTTCTCCACTCAATGCCAATAAAAGTGTGTGTGTGTTTAACTAGCCAGAAAAGGAGACAGGTACCTAATAACACATATTTCTTACAGGTACTGGCTGTTTTCAGATGAGGTTCCTGGCTTGTTTATTGAGAAAGGCTGGGTACATGACAGTATAGACTACAGATTTACCCTTCCCCATCAGAAAAAGGAAGATTTGAAGAAGGACTACAGCCCTGGAGGTACGGTCTCTTGAGGGTATTTCCTCTGCTCTGACTATTCAAATGGAGACATGAGTGTGAAAGGACTGTCTAGTCTGAGTGTTTTAATGGGGATACTCTGATTTAAGCCTCCTTTTAATCCCAGAAGCCTGCACAGAGGAGGCGCTGGTGATATTTCCATTCTGCTGCTGCAGGTCTGGAGACTTGCCTGGAGTGTTCCACCTAAAGACTGTGGCATACAGTCTGCTCTCCTTCAAGGAGTGAGGTTGATGTCCGTTGATATCATCCCTCTAGTTCACTCTGACCCTGCTGAGTTGCAGTGTGCCAGACTCTTGCACAATTAGCTAGTTTGCTGCAGAGTGAGAATGTCTGTCACAGTGCTGACATTCCGCTGGTGCCAAGACTCCTAGATTGGCCTGTGGAATAGTAACAAGCAGGGCAGTCTGTTAGATACTCACAGCTTTGCTGATTGAGATTGTTTTGATTGGGCGGACATCCCTCATGCACTTCCTCTCAGCCTGCTCTTCACCTTTGCTGAATCTGCAGGTGAGGTGCAAGGGACTTGCTGAACTTCTAGTGCTTCCTCTGTGATTTTGCCTGGCTCACTTGGAGCCTGGGTCCTAGAGCCTTGCAAGCTTGGAACAGGCACAAAAATCTATATGTACAGGAGGGAACTTAACATTTCTGTGTGGAAGTAGTTCTTGGAACAGCAAATACTGCAATAATCTGACTCAGCTGAGTTTCAGTTGTGATCATTTCTTGCTTTTGGAACATCACATTCTGGCACTGAGTCCATCTATGGCAATCCTGCATGGGAGGCCTTATGGAGTTAGATCCAAGCCCTCACCTGGTGGGATTGTCTTAGACAAGGGGCAAATTGGACAGCTGTAGAGGAATAGAACAGGGCAAACTACAGTGAGATCCTTCATCCAGGTGTAACTTTACAGCCACCTGTGTCTTTGAGACTGACTGAGCTGAAAGTGTATCATTCCAAGCTCATCCATGGGTATATTTTCTTGCAAGAGCTGTTTAAAATACTGACCACCTGTGTTCCTGATCAACTTTTTGCTTCCAGCTGCTTCATCTCTCAGCTGCTGCTGCAGGCAGTGGGCAGGATTTCAGCACATTCCTTTGGAAACTTAACAGTCAAAGTCCTGAATGAGCAAAGATTTAAATTCATGTCAGAGTGTTATCTGAGATGCTCAGAAATAAAAATTCATGCTGCTTATACCTCCTTTGGTTTTCAAAATGCTTTGTCATTATACAGCTAAAAAGTGAAACTAGTTTTATGTGTTTGGAATAGTAGGAATGCTGCTCAGGAATCTACCTGAGCCTGTGCTTTTCTTTTGCAGAGAAGCGGAAGAGCACAGGCAGTGACAGCCGAGGGAACAAACTGCACCGCTCCATGCCCACCACAGACCTGCCTGCTGAGACCACCACTCCCAAGCAGGGCCAGAACTTATGGTAACACACACTTCCATGGCTGCAAAGTACTCAAAGTGTAAAGGTCAAGGAATCTAGACGGATTTCTTTTATTAAACCTACTACAAACCTGTTCCTCTTTCAGTGCTGAGCAGTTGGGTTGGTTCAGCAGCTCCACAGGCCTCTGTTGCTGATATTATTACTGCCCTGCTAACAGGGTAGCCAGTCCAAGAGCCAGTGGAACTGTCATTCTACCTAATCAATCATTCAAAGCCAGTATAAATTAAGCTATTCAAATGCTTCTTTGATGCATTGCTTTTTAAATATTTTATTCTTCCATGTTGACAGCCTCTTATCCCTTTAATGCTTCCATATGCCAAGCAGTCTTCTAAGTGAATTGAATCTACCTTTGAGCATGCTTGATTGTAACCTGCTCCAGTAATTGGCCCTATCGGTGTCCTTAAAGAAATTCTCCTGTGTTGAATGTTGCTCTGTGTGGTAAGGAGTGCTCATCAGTTGTCCCCTGGCGCATGGAGGAGCGTGGGAGGAGCTCTTGGAACACACTCAGCGCTAAATTATATTCTGTCACTAAGAGCTGCTATGTATGGAGTGGCCATAATGGATGGTATTCTCCTTTTAGAAAAGAAAGCAACAAAAAGAATTAAGAAGCTTCTTTAAAAAAAAAAAAAAAAAAAAAAAAAGCTTAAAGTGGCAGCCAGAAGCCCAAAACACTTTCAAAGAGATTTGAGGAAGTTGGAAACAAAACTGTAGCAACAATAACAAAACATATTGAGTTCACATCAGGATAAGGAAGCTGTTAAAATTAAGAAAGCCTACTTAAAACCTGTGGTGGATCTCAGTGAAAGAAATAAAAAGAATGATAAAGTGAAGTACAGACTAAGGGCAAAACAATTTTCTTTTCCCCTTGGGGAACAATCCTGCTTCACAAAATCTATTGTTAGAGGGTCTGCCTTCGGAGAAGAGGGAAGCTCTTCGCATGAGAGACTAATTGGCTAAGAAATACTAAATAAATTACAGAAACACTCTAAACTTGTATGTTCAGCAGGGAGATGGAGAGTAATGCTAGAGGAAACTGGGGAAGTCTCCTAAAGAGGTTTTCTTTGATAGATAAAAGAGGGATCAGGAAATATAAGTAGCAAATGGCTGTATTGAAATAGAGAGGAAAGTGCTGCAGCTGAGGTACACAACTGGCTGCTGCCAACTGCTGTGGATCTGTGAATTGCACCTGATCAAAGCACCAGTGGACAAATTGCTGAGAGAGGAGTTCATTGAGGAGTAGGAAATGCAAAGGTAATTGTCCTGGCACACAGAGGAGGCCTCAAAGCAGCAGATGCTGCAGTCTGGAGGGGTAGCTTGAAGAACTGTTACTGCATACCTGCTCTGCCTTTTGGCCACTCAGACATCAGACTGAGCTAGGAGGGGAGGGTTTTGGCCTGGCTGTTATGCCACAATGTCCTTAATTTCTGTTCTTTCTTGTCCCTGCTAGGAAGGACTTTTAAGTGCTGACAGTCACTGCACTTGCTGGTTTTTTTACAAGGGTCTTTTGCCTGTGTGCACTGTTCTGCCAGGCAGGGGCAGCAGTGATGGTAGAAGAGCCAGGCGTGGGCCTTGAGCAGGGGCACAGAGGCAGCTTCTCAAAGGACACATAACCCCTTCTAATTGAGTGCTGTGCTGATTGCCTCTCCCTGAGTGATAGGGCATCCAGAGCCATGCCTGCAGCTAAGCAATAAGGTCTCTCAGCTGAAAGGTTTTCCCTTAAAGATCTGGAGCTCCTTAAGAGTTTGTTTGCTGAGTACCTGTCTGACACCTGCCACCACTTACATGTTAGCATCCACAGAAAGCCATATGACAGGCTGGGAGCTGTTACTTCAGGATAGCCAGGAACTAGAACTTTCCTCTGAGGAAATCCATGTTTCTATTCCTGTATTTTCCTTTGGGGCCATTGCCATTGATCTCAAGGACTGCTCTGAGCATAAATGGTTATGGAAGAGAGTCTCCTCCTTGGCTGCTTTTTGCATGTTGTCCTTGGACACCGTGAGGAGCCCCAAGCTCACACTGAAGTCCTTGGATATCTCTGTTGTTTGGACTTGTGCAGCTACAACTCATAATTTTGGCATGTGCATAGGAAGTTTCATTTCTTTGTGTTCTGCTTTAAGTTGTGCTGTTTGTCTCTTTTACTAGTGGTATGTGGGACATGGGATTGAGTAGCCTCAGAGTGCATATAGAGCATCTTTAGCTTTACCCTTTTATCCTTTAGAGTGATGAGACTGCAAAATTAAATAGCAAATTAACTCTGATTAGTTGTATTTCACAGCCCCTTTTCCCCTTTAGCATGGTAGCTGGTAGGGCACTGATAAAGGGAGAAACAGATTTATACTTCTATCAAGAGTAAATAATATCTCACCGAAGTAGTTCTGCTCTTGGTACTTTGTCCCCAAAAAGAAAAGGGTCCAGTGTTCAAGTGTTAGTTTAGTGCTGCTGAAAGTGCAGCATCATAAACAGTTGGTTACTTCTGTCTTCTCCAGACAGATGGACTACTCTCTCTGTTCATCTTGTGCTCCACTTGCCCAGATGTTGATCCTTATTAAAAAATCTCCTTGTTCTGGATACATAGGCTCTGAAGAAGTCTCTGTCCTTACCATAGTGCTTGTGAGCTGTGTACTTCCTGATCTTTCCTGCAAGAATCATGGGAGAGTCACAGCCTTGGCAGGATATTAGCATGCAGGAGACTTCTTGCTCATCCTGGTCAGAAAGGAGTTGAATTTTGGAAACAGTGGCATCTCTGCAGAGTAACTGCAGAGTTGTTCTTCATCTGTTAGGAATTCTGCATGGTATGGTGGGTCCCCTCAGCAGACAATTTGAGTTAACTATGAGTGGGTGCTGACAGACTCCATTCTCTTGCCTATATTCTACAAATGGAGTTCCCCTGTTAACACCAACCCTCCAAAGCAGGTACTGGTCCTGGGCTCCTCTAGTTGTTGTCCTCTCAATTTTGTTGTTCCTTAGGCCAGGTTTTAGACCTTTCTTTGTTCCTTGCATCCTGTAGCCTGAAAACAGGTCAGAATATTCAGCCTGAGTGAATACTGAGAGCTGCTTTTGACTTGATTCTTGTGCCATTTGTGCCTTCTGTTCTGGTTGCTGACCAGTCTGTTGGCTAGTGCTGCCAGAAATGTCAGGGGAGAATCTAGACTGTTCTTTGTGAATGCAGGAAGCCCTGACATCAGTCAGGATTTCCCCCTTGTATATCAATTTGAAGACCTCCACCTGGTCTTGACTTTCCCAAAGGGATCTTTCCCATCCCTCTGGAGTGTGTGATTAACCTGTGCCAGGCCACATGAAGGACACTAACTGTCTTACCATCCCTCTTTGCAAGACTCACTTTTGCCTTCTCTATTTAAAATCCCTAGCCCTGTCTTACCATGTCAATACTCCCAGCCTGTGGTTGAGCTCCAACTGGATGTGCAGGTAGTTGCTACGTGCCTGGAGCTAGTTTGGGAAGCAGGAGCTGTAGCTGCACAGAGCAGAAAGGGGTCACTAATCAAACTAACATGATGTCTCCAATATGTTTGTATTTTGCAGATCAGGCTTAGGTTCAGGCTTAAGTAGATCAGTTCCCTGTCCCAAAAATACCAGTTCTTACTCTCAGGGTGAACTGGGAAGATTTAAGTACCTGTTGCAGATGTTCTTCTTTCCCTAGCCCATGTCCTTTTCAGCAGGAACAAAGTTGTACCAGGACTTAACTCTGACTTTTTTAAAAGGGTGGCAGCTGCTTTCTGCAACTGCCCAGCAGCCTGTGTTGTCTTCCCCCAAAATACTGGAGAATAGAAACCCTACATGATGACTGTTTTCAGTGTCCTTTACTTCTTACAGTATGACAAAACAGTGCAGTGAGTTCTCCCCTTTAATTTGTCTCCATGGGAGAAAGCAGGGAAAGCTCAGAGATTGTCATCTTCAATATTCTTCTAGCTGGATTCCATGGTGTATCACCAGCAATGTCTGATGTTGTTTTATCACAACCTGGGCAACACATCTCAAGGTGTCTGGGAAATAATCCTGTGCTGGGTATCTGTAGAGCAGATGGTTTGGAGTGTGGTTTATGCCGTTCCCAGGTGGTGACAGATTCTAGTGGGTGAAGGATATCTGAAGCTGCTCTGTCCTGTTCCACAGGGAGAGGTGCAGAGAGTAGTGGTGCCCAAAGGTTTTGATCACCGCATGCAGAGTGAGGATGCTCCACGGGGGAAGATGACTGGCTAAAAAACATCCTGCTTCCATTGTTGAACAATCAATCCTATGTTATATTAGAGTAATTTATTTCCTAGCTGAATGCAAACTGGGAGGCCATTGTCCTAGTAGGACCATACACAGAATTATTAAATACTTTCAGATATGGTATTTAGTAAGTATTTCTGCCAGAAAAATAAGCATTGTGGAAACTGGTATTCCAAGAGGAGCCACAACAGTATCTTTCTCTAGTTGTTGCTTGGCTCATCTGAGCTTGTGCCCAAGAAGAAAGATTAGACCTGGAATCTTCTGATAAGGATCACAGAGTGGTCCTTTGCAGTTGTTTACAAATAAGGTTGATTCTCCTCTTTCCTGTCTTCCCTCTTCTAATGAGCAATCCTCTAATAGAAGATAGGGAATTAGTCATATTTTCTGTTAAATGACCTCTGATGCTCGAGTTGAATCCACATCCCATCACATGAAGAGGCTCCATGGTTTCCTGGAATAGAATTGGAAAGAAAAGAAGGAAAGTGCAGAATTTCAGGTTGTCTTAAATCTCATTTAAATGTACAACCCAGCATGCAAACATGATTGTACTTTGGAATTAAAGAATGTCTTGATTTAGAGAACTCTGTAAAAGTAGTTCCCCTTTTAGATTGGACTAACTGCTGAGGCCATCGCTGTCCTCAAGAATTCCTGAGCAAGAAGGTTCCAAGCTGATCAATATGGTTTTCAGATTCTGTACTTGAGCTTTCAAGTTTGGGCAAGCTTAGAGAGGAGGACTTAAGCACTTGCAGAGACAGAGCCTGCACAGGCACAGAGCTCCAGCTGCAGAAGTTGTGCGATCAGCCAGGACATCTCCTTTTTAATCTGGGGACTCCTGGTTAATGAAAGAAAATATTACTAAATTGCCATGCTGTCAGTGCATAGTGTGTTAGTCTTTGCTAGTACATCTAACACAACATTCAGATCACTTAAATTAACTGCAGAGTAATGAATGGAATCCCTGGGATAGACAACTAAATTCAAATGTCAAGGTTTTAATAAACTTAATGGGGGAAATACATCTATAAACCAGTTTTGTGTTTATTTTGATTCTGTTTTTTGTACCCTGGCATTGGGTACATTTGGGGACCTTGAAACTAAGCCAGTCTGAGTCAGGATTCTTCTACCAGCATTCCTGGAAGTGTTTCACCTTGCTCCATGGCATCAGGATATAGGTTACCTCTTATCCCTACCTGCCAATCCTTGGGAACTATTCAGAAGAAGAAATTGTGTTGTCACAGAGATACCCTAGGTGGTCTAGGTACATTTTTTTTATTTTTCAGGTTTCTCTGTGACAGTCAGAAGGATTTGGATGAGCTGCTGGATTGCCTGCACCCCCAAGGAGTAAGGGAGAGCCAGCTCAAGGAGCGCTTGGAGAAAAAGTGAGCCTGCTCTTTGTTTTTCTATGTGTGCCTTCTCCCAAGTCAGAGCATGTCCTTGGCACAGCAATCCTTGCGATTCCTGGGGCAGCATCCCAGGCTGGGCTTTGATTATTCCTGTCCTGAAAGAGGGGAGGACATTCAGGTTGAGTAATTGCTGGTTTTCTTGGGCAGATTCTTGATAAATAACACTCTGAACAGTGAGGAAGTTCTGCCAGTCTTTAAATTCCTCCTTGAAACCAGGAGCAAAGGCAGTGCTGGTTGCTCTGAGCCAGAACTGCCACGTGCTTTCATGTGTCTTTCAAAGAACGTTCTGCATGGTGGAGCTCATAGCTCTCAATGAAGCCCATTGTCCCAGAGCCTGCCCAGCTCCCAGGACAGTGCTCTGCCTGTACTCAAAGGTTGGGTTTGATTTCCAGGTATCAGGACATCACACATTCCATCCATTTGGCTCGGAAACAGAACTTGGGCCTCAAATCTTGTGATGGCAACCAGGAACTGCTGAACTACCTCCGGAGTGATCTGATTGAGGTTGCAACGCGGCTGCAGAAGGGAGGCCTGGGATACGTTGATGTGACACCAGAATATGAAGCAAAAGTGAGTGAACAGGCAAAGTACTGAGCAAGACAAGTGTGAGATGATACTTTCTGTGGAAGGTCTTCAGTCTTTTGTTCTCCTCAGACAAGAGGAGCAGGAAATCAGTTTTCTCATTTGTCCTTTAAACAATTATTTCAAGATTACACAGCTGATGGCTTGAGGTGTATGCAGGTCATAATGTTGGAGCTGAGTGTCCTGTTCAATTGTCCTGTTTTTATATTCTCATGATAGGCTTCTTTATGGAGCAGAACTCCATAGCTGATTTTTATCTTCTATGTCAAAGCCAGCAATGTCTTGTTGAGACAGCAGCAATATGCTGATTCCATAACCAGGTGTGGCAGTTAACCACACTGCATTAGTTACCACGGGTGTCCACTTGCAGGCCCACTTCAAGCAGTAGAGAGAGTAATATCCAGCTGCTACAGGGTCGTACGTTCTTCCAACAGGTGTACTCCCTGGGGAGCCTAAAGGATTTTGGAGAGTGTGTGATTGCGCTCCAGGCTGGTGTTGTTAAGAAGTTTCTGCAAGGTTTCATGGCCCCTAAGCAGAAGAGAAGGAAACACCAAGGAGAGGATCACATTGCCAGGGCTGAGGAGATAGATGAAGACAAGAAAATGGCAGAAGAAGCCAAGGTATTGTTCACCTCAGGGCTCTGTTTTGGTCTTGCAGTAAAACTTTTTGAGCAGTACATTTTATGGAGTACTAAATATTGATCAACTTCCTTCCATTTCACATTTGAAGTTGAGTGTGTTTGGTGTTTATGAGGCCAGGTATTGCCTGTTTATTTTGAGGAGTAAATGCATGGGGAAAGTAAAAATAATAGTGAGGAGTTACCTAATTTTCTCTTTGTGAATAGGAAATGGGTCAGGTCCCTTCCATACAATTCTGCTTAAATGAAAGTACATTATGAAGAGTTTTCACAGAACTTAATAGGAGTTGTATCTGCCAGAGAGGACTTATGGTGCTTTGGTTCACAAAGAGAAGGAGAGACATGTTGGGGTTCTGGTAACTTCAAGGGAGTGAGATTCAGGTAAATACCACATTAGGCAAAGGGAGATACAAGTTGTTGGATGTGTGGAAGCACTTGGGGAGATGTCTGGGCAAACAAGCCTCCTGGGCAAGCCTCCAGGAGAAAAACGGTATTGTGGGCCTAAATACATATATGTCCTAATAAAAGGGATAGAGAGGAGCTGCAGAGGGTTGGGAAAGGTACTGCAGGCACTTGGGCTGCACCAGTGTTTCACCCTAACAGGGGTACTAGAGTTCAGGGGTAGTTTCTGTACACTAAGTTGAGCAAGATGTTAATGCCCTGTGACAAGACTTTCCCCACTGCCCTCAGCTCTGCCCTGACTGATAACTGACTTCAGCAGAGGCAGCAATATCAGAATTAGATCAGCAGAAGTACTTGGAAGTCCCAACTTAAAAAATAATATTTCTTCACCTGTGTTTACCTGAAGGGAGCAGGCAAGAAAGGTGGAGAGAGACTAATTTACAAGAGCATGTAGTGAGAGGACAAGGGGAAATGGCTTCACACTGGTAGAGAGTGGGGTGAGAGTGGATATTGGGAAGAAATTCTTCCCTGTAAGAGTGGTGAGGCCCTGGTACAGGTTGCCCAGAGAAGCTGTGACTGCCCCATCCCTGGAAGTGTTTCAGGCCAGGTTGGATGGGGCTTGAAGCAACCTAATCTAGTGGTAGGTATCTTGGCCTGTGGCAGGGGAGTTTGAAACGAGATGAGCTTTAAAGTCCCTTCCAACACAAACCTTTCTGGGAATCTGTGACTGAGGCTGGAGGTAGTTTCTTTGGTGTGGATCTGTGGGGCTTTTTTTGAAGCTCCTATCACTATATGCCGAATGCTTGTTTGAACATCAGGTCTTTGCTAAGCTGTGGTATTGGTGTGTTAGTGGGATAATTTGGATAGGTGCTAGAAATTTTCACATTCCTCAGTTGTCCTGAGGTATTTAAACTTCGCTAATTTTAAATCTTCCAATGATGGGAGGATGCTGTGTCCCGAAAGCTCACAGCAAAATGGAGTGCTGTAAAATCGGTGAGGTCTGAGGCAGAAAGGACTTGGATCAGCACATTTCCTGTTTCTACAGCAGCACCATATTGTGCCTTACTCTAGTCTGCCTTAGAGCTGTAACCCTGAGGGGTGTACCTGTAGGGCATATTCAGGGTAGCATCAAATTTACTGCAATGCAGTCCCAGTATGCAATTGTGCAGGTTTTCCCCCTGGAAGCACTGGCTTTAGTGTCATGCCAGTCTCTCTGGAGCATTTATTTATGCAGTGCAGTGCTTACTATCTCATTCAGACTTTTCTAGACCTTTGTGGTGGTACAAGCAATGTTCAACTTTTTGGGGGTGTTTGTTGGTTTGTTTGGTTTGGCAATTTTTTTTTAACCTCAGTTTATCTGGAATAAGCTTGCTTTTTGCCGAAGCAGAAAACCTTTACAGATGACCTTGAAAGAGCAGACTACTTCTTAGATACAGTTATCTGAGGAAAATCCCTGACTGCCAGGCAGACTGTTCTGAAGAAAAATCTCCTGCATAGGCTAGGAATTATGAAGCCTTTTGAGCCAGAACTGCACTGTGAGCACATAGGAGGTAAAATACAGCATAGCCACACTGGAAAAATATACTCAATGTACTTTGAGACTTTAGAGGAAGAATTGCAGCCCTGTGGTATGGGTATGTCTCATTTTCCCTGTGAGAAACAAGTTATGGCTTAACAGGCACCCGTTTGCTGACATAATTGTCTGTACTAAGGGTTCCTGCTGGCTCAGCTGCATTGCTGGAGCTCACACTGCTGAGTGGCATGGGATTGCAGTGAGACCTGGCTTGTGGCTGCTCCTTAAAATCAGGCTGGTGCCTCTGTTGATGAAAACATTCCCATTTCCAGTGGCAGTAGCATGCTGGACCGTCCTAGAACAGGACAGGGAATATATGACCTCTTTGCAGCATGACATTGCATCACTACAGCATGAGCAGAGTGAAGAACATGGCTGGCTTATCACCCCTGTGACCCGCGCTCAGCAGGATATGCAAGGGGAGAGTCAGTCTGCACCTGCAGACAATCCCTCAAGGAGCAGCTTCACAACCAAGCAATTCCAGTTTCAGCTGTTCCAAGGGGTTTCAGCTCAGGGTGCCAGGTGAGACCCTTTGTATCTGGAGCCTTGTCTACCTTTACCAAAGTTGGTGTTTTCTGTCACTCTGAGGTTGACATGTGACTGAGGACTTGTCCTTTTATTCTGGGGGTTGCTTTTTGGTTTTTTTCCCTGCTTGGTTGTTCCTATCCAGTAAGGAGGGGATTTAAGTAACTTCCTCCAGTCTCCCATTTTGCCTTGTTGGCAGCTGGTACTCTCTTGGTACTAGTGCTGCTCAAATGCCACAGTCTCCTGATGCTTGGGAGGTAAGGCTAGAAATTTGTTAAATTCCACAGACTTGGGGAGAAATATCTCAGCAAAAGTTGCCAACAGCTTTTGCATATTTATCTTGGCCCAGCATGTTAACAGCAAAACCCATGGAGCAGTTCCTTGGAAAATCAATTATACCGTATGTGAAGCACCTCAACAATGTTCTGCAAAGAAAGAGCACAGAGCTGTGTAACCTCCACAGTGGGCTGGGCAGCTTTACGTTTGTCTCCGGTGGTTCTCCAGAATCCACATCAGCAAGAGTAGTGATCCACATGGCGCTAGGGATGTTGGCATTTCAGAACAGTTTGTGTGTTTTTCCAAGCATCTAATATGTGCTGTGCTTCCTCAAATTCAGGCAGAGGTGAATGTGCAACTCTGCAAAACTCCCAGGTTTTCTTTGGCTCCCAAATTGCTGTCAGCTGCAGAGTTTAGATTTTCCCATCTGACACTTCACTGTTTGTTTTTTCATTCTCCTGAGGTGGAAGAACATTAGCTAAAGGCCTATTACATCCCTGTCATGTCTGGGCCATCGCCTCACTCTTGTAGAGTACAAGAATTACCATTGGTGAGGATATGGCTCTGGATAACTTCTGTCCTGCTGCATTTTGGATTTATCAAAATGGTATTTCAAACCTCTTGAGCTGAGTATATGGTTTCCCATTGGCCTTGCTCTGTGCAGACCCTGGCAGCTGCCCTGGTGCAAGGCTTGGCTTTGATGCTGTCATCCTCATTCCCAGTTTCTGGGATTTCAGATTAGCTGAGGCCATAGTGTCTCAGGGAAGCAGCTGGTTTCATATTTGGCCATCCAAATGCCTGTGCAGTGTGATTATAGCTGGTGGCACAGGGTTCCCTCTGCCACCTGAGAAGCTCAGGGACTGCATGGGTGTGTTGCTGAGGTCCAGGTGCCTGTGTGGTACCCACTGGAGGGCAGCACAGGCCACTTCAATCCTCCTTCCACTGTGATTGCCAGCTGTTCCACAACTTTCCTCCCACATTTTACAGTGCTAGATTTCTGCCTTTTATTTTCTTAGCCTGCTGATTATTTGGGTTGGACCTTCAGAGCAAGAATTTAGTGGAGTTCACATAGAGTGATTCAACCTGACTGTGAAATGCAAAACAGTTGACTGTTAGGAACAAACTGTCTGATCCAGGGAGACTGGATATGGATAAACCACAACCAGAACTGCTGAGGTAACACAGAAGGAAAGAAATATCAGAGTTGAACTTTGGTTATGAAGGGTCCCAGCTAAGGGATATAAAAACATCTTTAGACTGAAGGCAGCTGTGTCTGTGCATCATTGTAAGATGTTAGGTCTGTCTGCAGGTTGCTTCAGCCACGGAGAAATGGAAGACAGCAATCCGTGAGGCCCAGACCTTCTCCCGTATGCATGTACTGCTGGGAATGCTGGATGCCTGTATCAAGTGGGATATGTCAGCAGAGAATGCCAGATGCAAGGTGTGTCGCAAGAAAGGTACGCATTCCTACCCGCAGAATTCCTGCCTGTGCAACAGTTGGATGTTGTCACCTCTCTGCTGTGCTTAGGTGATGTGTCCTTGTAGTCTGTCACTCTATGGCTGTATTTTAAGTTGAATGTCAGGATTTACAGTCAGCAGCAGCATTGATCTCTCAGAAACATTTGACTCTTGACTCCAGTAAACCATTCTTATGTAGCTAGTATTGCAGAGCTGCTATCCCCTGGATATTTAGGGTACTTGGATGAAAGTCATCTACAAATCCTTCTGGGAACGTTTGTGCAACTGTCCATTCCCTAGTTTTCATTTTTGGAATGGTCTTTGGATCTCTGAGCCTTGTCAGTTAATCCTGTCTTCTAGAGAAGGAGCAAGCAAGGAGGGGTTGGAAAGGTTATTATGGGGAAAGCGAGGTGGGATATTGCTGCTCTGATGCCAAAGTGGCAGCAGAACTACTCAGTGAGCTGGGGAGGTCACCAAACAGGTGATGAGGGCATACTTTCTTCGTGTGCACTGTAGAATGAAGGACTTCAGAGTCTTCCAGGTGAAGGGGGAAGTAGAAGGGGTGTCAGCAGAGATCAGGTGCTGGTATTTGTCCTGCCATAACCTCTCCTGTTGGATGGGAGCCTGGAGGAAAGAGCCTGGTGGCACATTCTCCCTCACCACTTTTATGTTGCTGAAACTAGTGGAAAATGAGGGCAGGTAGAGCTTGGGGGACTGCTGGGCAACTTTTGTTTACCGCAAGGCTTGCCATCCATCCCTTTAGAGAAGTAAGGGCTGAACTGGTGCAAAATCTGCCTTCACTGCAGAACCTCAGGGGTATTCCAGACCCTTGCCAAAACTACCCTTCCTGCTGTTGAGAGGAGTTTCTAGGCAAGAGTAAGGGGCAGGGGGGCTCACCTGAAACTTGCATAATAGTTTCACAGAAGCTGAGAACTGAGATGTTAGAGAAAGACAAGCTGGCAAGCCCTCTGCACTTTCTTTTTCCACTTCAGTAAAGGAAAGCTGGCTCAGGATTGTTTCCCTGTTTCCCTTCATCAGTGGGAGGCACAGAGAGAGACTAGTCCCGATGCATACTGATTTTCAGTGTAGCCTTGCCACCCTGAGTAGAAAGAAGATACCACATAGGTTAAGCAGAATAGCTCCATTTTTAGCTTACAGCTCTGGGGCCCTGTTTGCAGCAAACTTTCCCCATGTTTATCTGAGTGGAACCTCTTTGACAGATTTCTATCTTTGCCTTCAGTGAAATCTTCGCAGAGCAAGGGACTTCGCATTGGTTTTGTTGGTTTTTAAATGCTGCTGTTCATAAATATAGTGGTGGGACAGAAAGAAGGATCCCCAAGGAAGGCCATCAGAGAAAGGGTCTCTGCCCTCAGAGGGGACTCTGCATCTTTCTCTTGCTTAATCCTGCCCTCCAGCACTGCAGCAGCTTCTGCCTCTCAGGTTGAGTGATGCTGTGGCCTTGTTACAAGCGAGCTGCACTTTCTTAGGTGAGGATGACAAGCTGATCCTGTGTGATGAGTGTAACAAGGCCTTCCACCTGTTCTGCCTGCGGCCGGCACTCTATGAAATCCCAGACGGGGAATGGCAGTGCCCAGCGTGCCAGCCTTCAACAGCCCGGCGCAGCTCACGAAGCAGGTGAGTGACCTTCCTGCCCGTAGTCTTGTCACAGCACAGTCCTGGGCCTCTTTTCACAAGACCCAAACAAGCCTGGACAAAGCCCCTTTAGAAGGTTTGAAATCACCCAGTTAAAGCAGCACTGGAACAGAAGAAAAGCAGTTTCAGGATGTAAGTTCAGCACGCATGTTGTACTGATGCATTACAAGTTCATGAATTTTGATAAATATCTTGGGTTTGGAAATGAAAACATAGGCAAAACGCCCACCAAAATTAGTTGCACTAAGAGTTGTTGTTTCCTTTGAGAATCTGGTTGGGTTATTTCTTCATGTATTTGGTGGCTGCAATTCTATGGGTCCTTGGGCTGGGTTACTGCAGTGTTCTTGTAAGCTAGAGCAGATATTACTCCAGGCTGCAGCTCAATCCCTGCTCTGCTATGACAAGTCAAAATGCCATTCTAATGGTTTTCTGTACCTGATAATCTTAGCAAGACAGGACCACTTTATAATGTGACAAAGGGAATGTGATTTGAGGAAGTGTGGCAAATATGAGCAGTTGCCTCCTGACAGCACGGGGTTAGATTGGTTTTTTGAGTTGCAAGCTGGAACTTAAGCATTTTACAGTGAGTGTCATTTGTTTGTGGTAACTGCTACATCTCCCTGTATATCACTGAGATGAGGCTGTCCAGTGGCACCTGATGCAGAAGCAGAGAGCAGATCCTCCCTGACAGAGCAGCACAATAGAGGTGTGCCAGCCAGTACCGTGCAGGTGGTGTATGGCCTTGAAAGTATTACTTACTCCCTGGACACCATTTAAGAGTTCATCAGGCTTGTGCAGAAATGACAGGGCTTAAAGGCAGCTCCTGTAGCCTGAGTTCATAGTTACTTTGATGTGGCAAAGTCGCCTGCAAGCTGCTCAGCTCCTGGCCCAGAGCCATCAGGTGGAGAACACCTGTCCTGTTTTCTGCTTTCTGCTCTTGACTTCCTGGCTGAGATAGGAAAAGAATGTCAGCCTGGCAGATCTTTTACCCTCTGTGCTTTGGAAGTTTTATTCCTTTTGTTGCTCAAGATCCTCTTTCTCCAGGGGATTTAGACTCCCACAGCGGCTTTGCCTGTGTCCCCTTTTGCCTGTGCATGCTGGTTTTTAATGGTCTAAATGAGACCCCACCAGCAGTGCTTCAGCCTGTTGGAGCAAGTCCAGAGGAGGCCACCTAGCTGATATGAGGGATAGAGCACCTCTGCAATTAGGGAAGGCTGAGACAGTTTGGATTGTTCAGCCTGGAAAAGAGAAAGTTTTGGGGTGACCTAATTGCAGCCTTTTAGTACCTGAAGGGAGCCCACAAAAGAGATGGAGAGAGACTGTTTACAAGGGGGAATGGCTTCCTTGACATTCTTCCTTGACAGAAGGCAGGGTTAAATTGAATATTGTTTGGGAAGATATTCTTCCCTGTGAGGATGATGAAGCCCTGGCACAGATTGCCTACAGAAGCTGTGACTGCCCCATCTCTGGAAGTGATAGAGCTTGGAGTATCCTGCTCTAATGAGAGGGGGACTGAAGGAAGATGGGCTTTAAGGGCCCTTCTAACCCAAACCATTCTATGATTCTATGAATGAATGAACAGTCACAGATGAGAAGCCAGAATGTGCTGGGCAGAGAGTCTACGTGGCTTCTGACTTCAGCACATGAGGAGCCTGACATTCTGTTCACCAATCTGTTTCCCATAGTGTAAGGAAACAAATCTAGTTCCTTAAGTATAGGGAAAATATTCCAGCAGGAAAAAGAACCCCTCTTGAAACTCTTTAGGCCGGGCCTGCAGACCTGGGCAAATAGCAAATCGTCCTCTCGGGGAAGAGTAATTACACAGCAATCCCAGTCTTAAAATCCCCTGTCCCGTGGTCATGGTGCCTAGAATACCAAAAAATACCGAGGTTCAGCTCTTGGGAATTTTCAGTCCAGATGTTTAGCTGAGGAAGTGCCCTTTGAGCTGTAGCTATAACTTGATATTCTGGAATACAGCAAGCTGCTTTTGGCTGAGCCTGGTGTTTGTTGTACAGCCCAAACAGTGCCAGGGCCCCCGGGGCCACTGATGCTCAGGCTCTTGTACCACAAACACATACACCTGCCTTGTTCTAGGAACTATGCAGAGGATTCTGCTGAAGATGAAGGTGAAGAAGGTGAGGAAGCTTCTGATGAGCCGGATGCTGAGGAGGAAGAGGAGGAGGAAGAAGACTATGAAGTTGCTGGACTAAAATGTAAGGCTTTGACCATGTAGAGAAATAATAGAAAATAGTAGCCCTCCTGCCTTCAGTATCTGAAATACTGATCCTCTTTGGGACTTGTGCTTTTCCTCATGCAGACCAGGTATAGGCCTAGGAGATGTCACAGGGAAAGGCTGTGGCTGTGCTGTGGTTACCTGGGGACCTGGAGGTAAACCCTTGGCCATTTGTGATGGAGTCAGCGCTAGCAATGATTGAAACTGCTCACTGCCCAGTCACTCCCTGGGGACACTGATGATGCTGTTCTGAGGGCTGAGAGGGGTCAGTAGGGACTGCAGAGCAGTGGGATTGTCAGTCTCTGCACCTACAGGATTTGTTGTACACTGGAAGCTGTTTAATTGCTTATGGGAGCTCTCATCACAGCCTCCTCTCCTTTCTTTTCTTTTTCCCACCATTTCATAACCCCTTGAGTGCAGGACTTCTAGTGATTTGGCAAGGAGGCATTTTGAAATAGGAGGACTAGCACTTCCTCTCTTTATTCCAGTGAGAAGGCACAGTGTTCCAGGTGTAGTGTGGGCTGGACCACCAGCACCCTTTGATCACATACAGAGACCACTTGGGATGCTCCCAGGGCATCTGTTTTCTGGATTCTTCAGTGTCTGCTTCTTCACCTAAACATATTTAGTATATGTATCCACTTTGGTTTTAGGGGCATTTGATTCAGTCTCAGTTGGGCAACTTGTTGTGTTGAGAAGCTCAGTCTGGGAATGGCACACTGCCATCATTTGCTTTCTGTCAAATTGTCCTTGACTGACATAACATTAAGTACAGGTTGTCTTAAATAGGGCAGATGGAATCCAGAGACTGGGACTCAAAGGATTATCCCATGTTCTTTTGAGGGTTTCCATCCAGGCCTGAGCCTTGATTCCTTTACTTTATTCTGGTTTCAGGGAGGCTCACTGATACCACAGCTGTGCACACTGCTTGTTGTCCTGCGGTGTATCCATGTCCACACTTGGAGTGTGTTTAGCCTGTGTTGCATGGCCAAGGCAGGAGCTGAGCCAAGCTTTCCAAACAATGGCAAAAGAGGGTTATGGTCACTAAAAATAAAGTGCTAAATGCAACCCCTGGCTTTAGAGAGCATTAACATGGAAAGGTCACCATGGAAAACTTTTGTTTTAATAGAGAAATCACATTGATCCTCATGGCGTTTATCCTGAGGGATCTAACCTAGAATGTTGGATTGTCAGACATTTAGCACGTGCTGCACGCTTGACACACAAGCAGAGTGACAGCAGGTGGATGTCCTGCGGCCTTGCCACACGCCCAGCATGATGATTTATGGGACAGGGCTGGATCAGAGGCTGCAGCTGAGGTATCCAGTGTGCTGGATACAGCTCAAGGACTTGGGATCAGGTTGGAAGGGCTTTGAGTTGGGAAGGCAAACACATTCTCCTCGTACAGAAGGGTCATGGGAGAAATTTAAGACAAGGGAGTGCGTCAACATGCTTGCATTGCCACCAGTGTGGAGCTCTGAGAGCAGACACACACAGGCAAGTGCATTTCTTTAGGATGTAATGTGGCAGCCCCAAGTCTTGGGGAATAAAATCCCATTGTTTCCCACTTGAAGCACATGGAGCAGCTCCCAGCTGCAGTAATTTGACACTCCCCCTGCACACAGTTCCCTTCTCAGGGGGCTTATCCCACTGTGTGGGCCACTTGGAAAAGCACCCATCTCCAAAACTAAGGAGCAAAGGAGCAGCAGGAAACTGAGGAAACTCCAGGTTTCTGCTCCCAGTGCTTTCAGAGGGTATTTTGCTGTTTGAGACAGCTGTCTGTCCTTGCATTGCTTTCCTGTCTTTCCCTCAAGCCTTGATGTGTTGGGGACTCTTGGTGCTGCAGGCAGAGGGGTTTGCTGTGACCTGCAGTGGATGATCCAGGAGCTCCCAGGATTCCCTTGGAGCTTGAGGATCTGCTGTGTGTGAGTACCCTTTTAGCAGCAGGCGGTTGCTAGCCATGGCCTCTTCAGGCAGGTGGTGATGACCCACAGATCCCCTCTGTAGAAGGTGTGAGTGTAGCTGAGATGACACCGGGTGGTCCCTGGGCTCACCAGCCTGAGTGAGGCTCAGCCTAGTGTGGGAGGCAAAAGGTGGTGTCTGCTCCCAGATGCACCCAGGCCTCTAAGCCCATGGCTTATCTATTTCAGTGAGGCCCAGGAAGGCAGCCCGGGCCAAGCAGGGCTCCATGTACTCCTCGAGGCAGGGAAGGCACCAGAGGAAGAAGCAGACGCTGCACCCTGTGCGGGGACCCCGGCAGCGCACGGCACCTGTCAATGGTGCAGACATCGATGAGCTGGTAAGAGCCGAACTTCTCCCTGGAGACCACTCACATCGTGAGTTATAAACCAAACAGGTGGCATGCTTCCTCCCATCCCTTTGCAGAGAAATACCCTGAATCCTAGTGGAAGCCCGGGTTAGGCTGGGTTAAAAAAGGATACATATCGTTAGGGGCCTGCTGCAGACAGAGCACAGATATGCCAGGCATCCCTCCCCAGCCGCTTTCACACATTGTCCCCTTGAGCAGCAGGCAGCCTGCAGCTTGTTAAAGGGTTTTAAATAGTATCCATATGTCTCTGCAGAGAGGTGGGGGAACTGAGGGGGTCCTGGATGGCCAGAGAATGCCAGCAATGCTGGACCCTTTCTCCCCAGCCTTGGCCATTTTATGACAGTTGTTGTCTGTATGGTCACTCCCCAACTTCCAGGACATAATTTGGCTGGCTTACGTTTCACTTGATATTTAAAGAATAAAACTATAGGCTCCTGAGCAGAGCAGTCTGTGTGTGCTGGGTGGGGGGAGCTGCAGCGACTCTGGGGAGCCACACGCCATAGGGGATACATGAGGATACTCCAGCCCCACAACCACGTCACAGTGCCCTGCAGATCTGCCATCTGTCCTGTGACCAGCAGTAGTGGTGCTGGTGTATCCTATCACTCTCCTTGCTCATGGACTGTGGACTCACTGGTGCTTATGCTAGGTCTGGGGGGCTGTGCTCATGGTCTGTGTTATACACTGGAGGGCAAGCAAGCCCAGCATAGACAGCCACAGCCAGCACAGAAGGATATTCCAGTGGGGAAAATCTTACTGGAACAGCACACTGGCTCAGGGAAGAGGACTTTGCCATGATTTATCACTTGTCGTGGGAAGAGACCGGAGCTAGGTCAGAATAGTGAGTGCCCTCTGCTGTGGAGCCTTCCTGGCATTCAGTGTTTCCTCAGCAGTGATGACCCAGAAGCTGTGCGCTGGGAGCTATGGGGATGTCCCCATGCTGGGTGTGACCTGGGTCTCTGGGCACATGAGTGACCTTGTGCTGAGCCTGCATGGGGACAACAGTGCTTGAGCCACCAGCTGCTCCCTGGCATTTGAAATGGCACAGTCGTCTCTGCCAGGGCAGAACAGCAGCACAAGTGCTTCTCCATCTGCCTTGGGTGCTGCCCGCCGCAAGCTCAAGAGACAGCAGGGAGAGGGAATTCACATTCTCCATTTGCTGGCATTTATTTTTTGGCTGCTTGCTGTGGCCATATTGTCTTTGAACTTTTTTAGAAAAAGCCACCTGCTACCAGAGAACTGAGCAGCTTGTGAGCTGTTCCCACCAAGCTCCTGAATGGAGCTACTGTCCTGAACCCAAGCGACTGCTGTATGTCATAATCACAGAATGGCCTGGCTTGGAAGGGGTCCTAAATGCATCTCATTCCAACCCCTCTGCCATGCGCAGGGACACTTTCCACTAGACCAGGTTGCTCCAAGCCCTGTCCAGCCTGTCATTGAACACTTCCGGGGATAGGGCAGCCACAGCTCCTCTGGGGAGCCAGTGCCAGCCCTTCGCCATGTACAGAGGGAAGAAATGTCCTGGCTGCTAAGAACTTTGGCCTCAGGGCTGTTAGCCGAACCGCCAAGCCTGTAGCAGTTCTCTCCTTTTACCAACACCCTTTGTGTGGGCAGGTCCTTCAGACAAAGAGGACAGCGCGTCGCCAGAACCTTGAGCTGCAGAAGTGTGAGGAAATCCTCAGCAAGCTGATCAAGTACCGCTTCAGCTGGCCCTTCAGGTGAGGGCAAGTGGTGTCTTCCTCCTCTGTGGGCAGGACTGGCCACAGGCTATGTCGGGATATGGGCAGGCTGTAGTGCAGTCCTGCCTGATCCACTTGGGAGACTTATGACTTGCTTTTGGAGCCCTATCTGGGAAGAAGCTGCTCCAGAAGAAACCACCATATTCTCAGTCTTCTGCTGAAGACTTGGTGCCCTTCTGAGGTGGCAGGCAAGGGGCTGATGCAGGAGGTAGGTGTTCTCTACTGCCCCCAGGATTTTTGGAGCACTGAGGGAAGCTTCCCTCATGGACCTTACCCATGCCTGAGCCAGCTCCCTGGGCTCCTTGTGCTTCCCATTCCGGTGCCATAGGGCTGATGTATGTGTAACATTGTAGAGGTATTGCTTGGGCTTGTTGCACCACCATGGGGCTGCAGGTCAGGGGTGCCACAGGGGCGAAGGGGTGGCGGGACCCCACTTCTCTGCTGTGGTGCCAGGGTTGGCATTCCCTTCCTATCCCTGTGGCCCTTCCTTTGGCAGGGAGCCAGTGACCACGGAGGAAGCTGAAGACTACTTTGAGGTCATCAGCAACCCCATGGACTTCCAGACTATGCAGAGCAAGTGCTCTTGCGGCAGTTACCGCTCTGTGCAGGAGTTCCTCTCCGACATGAAGCAGGTGTTCTCCAATGCCGAGCACTACAACCAGAATGGGAGTCACGTACTGTCCTGCCTGGAGAAGACAGAGCAGTGTTTGATTGACATGGTGCACAAACACCTGCCAGGCCACACGTATGCACGCAGGAAACGCAAGAAGCTCTCTGCCAGGTGCCAGGGACTGGAGGAGCAGGAAGGGGACAGTGAGTCAGAGCCCCTTGAACATTCCCAGGGGCGGAAGAGAAAGAAATGAGGGATGGAGAGGCCATGGGGAGAGCCAGAACTGGAGCAGGCCTTCTGGTGCTGCCAGGCAGTTGGATGGGTTGTGTGTAGGGAGTTGAGAAGCAGCGGGCACTTCTCTATTAATCCAGCCTTCCCTTGGGCCCATCCTAGTTTTAATTTTTCTGCAATTTCCTCAAGTGTTTGGTCATCCATTGAGTGGCAATGACTTAATGCTTCCTCCAAAATCTACAAAGCTCTTCCTGAGTCTGTCCTGCCAGGAGGGGAAGGTGGGAGGGCAAGGGGAGGGCCTGGCCAAGCTTGGCTGGGCAGAGGAACACCAGCCTGCTCCAGCTCAGGCACTGTTGGTTTCCTGGAATGAATTGCTTCCTTGCCTCTGCAAGCAGCCAGGGCACGGTGGGGACCGTCTACTGCCAGTCATGTGAGCACACCAGCCTCCAACTGGTGCAGGGGGGGGATCGTGTTGCTCCACAGAAGAACTGGGTGCCATCAGGCCAATGGGCTATTCAGGCTTGCCTGTATATATTTATATGGTGTTAATTCTGAGCCTGGGTTCTGGGCTGTGTGTGGCGAGCAAGCACTTAGGTGTACCGCGGTCTGGCTTTCACCAGCATCCCAACACCACTGCTCCAAGGTGCTCCTGCTTTCCCCTCTCCTTGGGGAGCAGTCCCTGGAGGTCTCGGTCCAAGGAGGGCTCTGAGCTCAGCTCCCCACCTGTACATGTCAAGAGGAGGCTCCCTGCTCCCCTGGACCTGCATGCCATCATGCAGCCCTGTTGAGTGCCAGCAGCAAACTGGAGTGTGAGTGTCTGCGCAGCCCAAGGAGAGCTCCAAGGCCAGGGGAGAAGCAGAAATGTGCTGTGTAACTTTTTAAATTAATTTTTTAGTTGAAAGTGGCTTCGTTTCTAGCTGTGATCTTGTACAAAGAACACCTGTAAGATACCCTTGTCTTGCTTTGGCACATGTACAGTTTATATAAAATCGTGTTTGCTGTAGATTTTCCCCCTCTTTAAAACTCATTTTCCTACCAGTAGCAGGAGTTACATCGGGGACTTTGCGGGGCAAGAGGGAGATCCTAGTCTCTCTCAGCCACACACTCACGACATTTCATAGTAACACCCTTTCTCCTGTGCCATAGCCCAGCATCAGCTCCTGCTGCCCCAGATGCTGACTTTTCCCTAAGAAAAGGGTTTGTTTTCTCATTCTCTCTTCCTCTCCATCATGACAGATTTGGATCATACAATCAGGGCTTGAACTTCTTATGCCAGAATTGTTTGATGTGGAATAAAAGGGCCATGGGGCTGTTCAGTGCTGGTTTTGTAACAGAAAAGCAGAAGCAGCTGTTGTAGCTCCTGGGATTTGAGAAGAAAAGAATAATCAATTACAAATTTCAGCCTAGTTTTGTGAATGTTTTAGGTTTGGGTTTTTTTTTTTTAATGGGTACTTGTTTTCAGTTCTGGACTGGCAATGACTGCAGATGAGGCAAGTTTCCAGCCCCTTCCCTCTCCTCAGCCTCACTCCCTGCCCCACAGAATAGCACTGACATTTGTATCTCACACGTCCCTTCAGAGGCTGTTTTGTCTTGTTTCCTAGAGATCATTTCCTACAGGTCCTACACGGTGGAACCTTTGGAACTGCAAGTTTTCTAAAAATCAGTGTCATTTGGGGGGAGGGGGTTTCTGCAAAGGGCTGTACTTGTAATAAATTGGAAACTTAAGAATAAACATTATGTACTTGTGTTTGTAAACGTGGCTTGTGTGAGTTCTTTGTTGGTCCCTGTTTTGGTGTGGGATTGTCTGATATGGCTTTCCTCTGCCTTCCTAGAACTACTACTGGACATCTCTGGAGCACAAATGGAGCTGTGACGTAAAGGAATGGTGAGTCAGGATCAGATCAGCTTCTGGGATGGTGCTGGTGTGTTGTCACCCTCCCCAGTGACAAGGAACAGAGCTGTGCTGTGCCTGCCCCTGGAGTGGGGAGCCGTCCTTGTTCCTTGTCCTGTGCAGGGTGCCATTGTGACACTTATCCTCCTGTTCCATTCAGGGAGGCACTGGGTACCCCTGGAGGGACTACCTCCAGGAGATGGGGAGCTGGGATGTTTCTGCTCTTTTGCCCTAGCATGGCCTGGCTACCCCCCAAAGCCTATTCACTTAGGTTGGAGTGTGTTTTGCAACCTGAGCCGTGCTTGCAGGAAGGATTATTGCTGCTGTGTCCCAGGCCCCCATCCTGATCTCCAGCAGCCCAGGAGGGGCACTTTTAGCTCCAAGGGCAGCATGGCTGGAGCAGTGACATGCCAGTGCTCATGACCACAGCTGTGACACAAAGGGTTTGGCCGAAGCTTTGCTTGTTTCTGCTGGGATAACGAGGGTTCCTGGGTGTCTTCATCCTGCTTCTCACTCCAGATCTGAACTGGGAGTGTTCCAGCCAGGCCCCATACTGCTGGGCAGGGAAATCCTGATGGGTTTGAGAGCTTGAAGGCTCTTGGCAATGGGCTGATGCTGTTTTCCCTGGAGAACCCTCCTCTCTCCACAGGAGGTGGTTTGGCTTGCTGGCCATGCAACAGGACCTGGGTGAATCTGCGTGACTCCAGCTGGGATTTTTCCAGGCCTCGTCGTGGAGATCTCGCAGCAGCATCTGCTCCAAGACCTTTTTGGAGACTTGTTTTTTATAGCAGCCCCTCCATGGCATCAGTGTCCTGTGCAGGGCTATAAATAGCTGTCCTCACACCTGGCAGGGCAATGTGGGGGCTTGGCGGGCAGCCGGAGCCCTGCTGTCACCATCATCAGCCCTGCTGCACCTGCTGCCTGCAACAAACCCCCAGGAGCTCCTATGATTGCTGGAGTTCCAGCATGGCCTTGGGAAAATGAGACCCAACTTTGGCCCCCTGGGTTTCCTCATGGCTTAATTCTCAATCATTAATTAATATTCTGGGTAATGGGGGTATTGTATTTGCAGGGACCCCCGTAGCAGGGAGGAATGATGCATCTGACTCCATGTTCTCAGAAGGCTAATTTATTACTTTATAATGCTATATTATATTAAAGAATACTATACTATACTATACTGAAGAATACAGAAAAGATACTCAATGCTAAAAAAGGTAATAATGAAAACTTGTGACTCTTTCCAGAGTCTTGACACAGCTTGGCATTGATTGGCCAAAGAGTCAAAACAATTCACACCAGAATCCAATGAGGCAATCACTTTTGGGTAAACAATCTCCAAGCTCATTCCACACATGAGCACAACACAGGAGAAACAACTGAGATAAGAATTGTTTTCCTTTTCTCTGAGGCTTCTCAGCTTCCCAGGAGAAGAATCCTGGGCGAAGGGATTTTTCAGAGAATGTGAATGCCCCATGGGGGTTTTAGCAAATTCCCAGAGCACAGTGGCTTTTCTTTTGTTACTCAAACCTGGAGGGAGTGTCCATCCATGTGAGGGTGGATAAACTCCATGGCTCAGCAAATGCCAGGAGTGACAAGACTCCACTTCTCCATGCTGAGCTGGACCAGGACCTTGGGGCCACCAGGATGTCCTGCCCCCATTCTCACCCAGCTGGCAGCCCAAACTCACCCTCCACAGCCACCCCAAGCCAGGCACTGCCCTGTGGGGCCTAGGCACTGCTGAACCCTACTTGTCACTTGCTGGGGGTTTATTGGAGGCAGGTGTTTGATGTCCTTGGGGCTGCTCTGAGGAGGACGGAGATGGGATGCAGGGGTGAGTTTGGGTGGGGGTGTAGAGAGGGAGCCTGAGCCCCACAGCACGGGGTTGAAAGAAGCTGTGACCAGGAGCCAGCAGTGTCCCTGGGCCACTCCTTCCATGTGACAGCTCCGCTTTGCAACAGGGTCTGTGGAGCTGTGTCCTGGCCACGCTCAGCTCTCAGGACTGGCAACCTCCAGTGGAGCCAGCTGGGCTGCTGGGGCCGATAGCGGGCAGTGGTGGGCGCCGGCGGCCCCTCTGGGGCCCGATAGCAGGGAGCCATTGGGACGGGTTATCTGGGTGAGCACTCCTTGGCAAGCGCGGGCTGCTCAAGGGCAGCCCGTCCCCAGGGGTGCCGCCAGCCGGGCACCAGCGCTGGGCTGCATGCCTGGCGCACAAGGTGAACCAAACTGACTCTGGGCTTAGCACCTGGGGTAGAACACAGGGAGAACACGTGGATCTTTTCCCCATTCCCAGGCAGCCCCTGCCTAGAGCCATGCCCAGCTCCCCAGCTAGACTTTGGAGCCTGTCCCACAGCCAATATTGACTCTCCTGCCCCAGGTCACGGCCCTTTTCTCTGCCCAAAACAAACCTTCCTGTGGCAGCCAGAGAGCCAGAGGCTGCAGCCCACCAATGCTGGGGCCAGGTAGGGTCCCTGCCCTAGCACCATCAGCACCACCAGCCTGGGGAAGGGGCTGGATGCCCACCAGCACAGCCAGCGGTACCTAAATCTGCTGAGAGACCCTCAGTGCCCCCCCAGCAACACCACATGGACTTCACACCTCGTCCACCACACCAGCTCCTGGGGGAGGAAAAGGCTTTTCTCAGCTCAGTGATCCAACTTCTCCTGACTTCCCAGCATCCCAGGGGTGGCAGGGAGCACATTAAAGGTGCTTCACCAGTCCCACCATCACAGCAGCCCTGGCACAACTCGATGGTGGGTGAGGGGTCCCAACCCCAGCCTTTGCCCCCACTCCAGCCATAAGGGGGAGTCTTGCCCCTGTCCTCCAGCCACAGTTTTGATAGTCTGAACCCTGAATGATTCTTCAAATGGGGGCCAAGGGCTGTTGGGATGAGCAGTGGATGCCAGGTTGAGTGCTGGAGGGAGGGTCCATTGCTGGATTGTTGCTCCCTGGACAAGGGTTGACCCTCCCTGGAGTCCAGAACTGCCCAGCCTGCAGGCTGGCTAATTAGATGATGGACAAGTCTAAGCATCAGTAGAGCTGTGTTGCCCCTACAGATCCTGCTTGCCACAGGTGCTGTGCTGCCTATGCCCCTGCCACAGCCCCCTGCCCACATCTCTTCCCTAGCACCGGGAACCCCTGGCACATCCCTGGGGACAGCCAGGCAAAACAGCCCCATCAAACCCCTGCAGAGGTGAGCTGGCCCCTGCCAGCTCCTCAGGATGTCTCGGGGAAGGGTAGGTACTCCCCGCCTCTCTGAGCCCCTGCAGAGCCACACTCCTGCCCACCCTGTGCCCACCAGCCCCAGCTCCCCCTGCCAGCTCCACCAGCACCAGCTGAAGCTTGAATTTCCCTCTGGACAATGGGGAAGGCGAGCTGGGATTGTAACCAGAGCAGGAGATAAATAAAGCTGCCCAGAAGTTTCCATTACCCGCACCTCGGCTTCTGAGGGGGACATCAAAGCTGAGCCCTCTGTGCCCCAAGATCCCGTGCCCCCAGCCCATCTCCCTGGCTCCCGGCCTGCCCCCTCAAAGCCCCTCAGCCCGGCACCGAGGCTCCGGCAGCTGATGGCACTGGCACAAATCACCTTCAGACCATGGAGTGGAAAGGTGATTTGTAAGTGTCCTAGCACAGGAAAACCCTCCTCCTCCTCCTCCTCCTCCTCCTCCTCCTCCTCCTCTTCCTCCTCCTCCTTGCTGGGGGGCAGAACTGGCCCCAGGGAAGGCACGGAGGTGAACTGGATGGTGGCACCTGCTGGTACCACACTTGCCAGAGACAAGAGGCACCCCAGCATGGCCTGACATGGCCTGGCCCGACATGAAAGCCCCCAAACTGGGGTGGGGTCCCATGGGGGAGTTCTTGATCCCCTGGAATCCCTGCAAACAGCACCAGGCTTGGATCAAATAACACATCCAGGGTTTATTGTTTTTTCCATTCCTCGCAGCTAATGATCAAAAATATTTAAAATAAATTACAGAATTAAATAAACATGGATGGATTATTCCTCTCCCTGTCCCTTCCCCACCATCCCCCACAGAAAGCGTTAGAAGAGTCACTGGATTTGGCAACAGCAACAACAAAACATCCTCTAGGAAAAAGCAGCTACTTGTCAGTGAGTGGTGCTGGGGGTCCTGCAGCCTCGCCCCCCTAAACCTGGGAGTGTCCCTCCTGCCGCCACACAGCCCTTGCCCTTGCCCCTTACCCGTGAGGCCACTTCTTCCGCTGTGGGGGGCAGCCCCCGTCTCTAGACGTGAGTCGGGTTGTCCAGGTACGGGTCAGTCTTGGTCATGTGCAGCATGACTGTGGGGGCTTTGTAGTGGCAGTGTCCCCCACCACAGCTGACCCCACTGCAGGGCTTGCTCCGCGTCCTCATGCCCAGCCGCCTGTTGCACAGGCTCTGCCAGGTCTGCAGCGTTTTAGAGCTCCACACCCACACCCCGCTGGTGATGCCCACCACCAGTGACATGAAAATCTTTAGCATGAAGACAGCCACAGTGGGCACTGAGGCCTCAAGGGAGCAGTCGGTGGCACGGCGGCCAGGCAGGCGTAGGCAGCCATGCTCCAGCGCCCGCAGCATCCAGTAATCCACATTCAGCCGCTCGTAGAAGTAGCAGACAATGACACAGGTGGCTGGGACGGTGTAGAGGATGGAAAAAACCCCAATCTTCACCATCAGCTTCTCCAGCTTCTCCGTGTTGGTGCCACCCGTTTTCATGATCTTCCGGATGTGGAAGAGGGCAACGAAGCCAGTGAGAATGAAGGAGGTGCCGATGACCAGGTAGCAGGAGAGGGGGATGAGGACAAAGCCGGTCAGGGCACTGACGTCCATGCTCCCCACATAGCACAGCCCGGTGAGCTCATCCCC